CTCTTAGAGATGATAAAATAGTTTGGACTTTGAGACAGCGAAGGTGCAAACAATCCACCCACATGTTTTTTTCGGAAATGTTGTCCTGATTTTCAAGCCCTTTCACCCCTGCTTTTTTCAATTTTTGTTGCATCAATATGTTGCGTTTTGAGACATAGTTAACCCATAAAAAGGAATAATAAATTTCTTTTAGATAAAGCAGAAAACAATATTTTCCTGTTATTTTCCCATAGGGAAAACTCAGGTGCTCCATTACTTTCAGCTTAATTTTGGTCACCCATATTTGATATCTTTTAAACCCCTGATGGAATACATTATTTCTTTAAAGGGGTTAACTGTGCATCAAAACACAACATATTGATGCATGTGGGTGGGTGCACCCTGTCTCAAATAGAAATTATTTTATCATCTCTATGAGTGCTTTTCCTGGAGGAAATGCATTGGCCTAACATATGCACCTCCTCAAATCCTCAGAAAATAGCAAAAATCCAACATGTAACTGTCCTAAATCTGTTGCGATACTTTCAGTCCTCCTTTAAGATTTCAGGTTGTCTTGGATGTCTCTCTTTTTGAATGTATGACTTTTTAGCTTAGAAATTAGATGTTGAAAATATTGTGGTCAGGTTTGATCCATGTTACAAGTATTGTTAAAAGAAAAATCATTAGAGTTGAGGACCTTACCCTAGAGTTCCTAAGGGGGTGAGAGGTTAATGAATCCCCCCCCCCTAAAGTGTAACTGCTCTTAGGGATATCGTATACAGTGTAGTAATTGATTGATTATATGGATTATAACTAATTAATTATTATTTGATGATATTTATTATGTGATATAGCATTTTTACTTTTTCACATCAACATGTTCGATGTAATGTTCTACAATGTCAAAATACATAAAGACATGGTTAATTAAAAGAAACATGATTTCTCTATATTTTGTTATGCCCATACTGTAATTAAGCAATGATCATCTCCTAATACAAAATATTACTATAAATTATCAAATTATAATCACTACACTCTCAATAAAACAACTTGTCATCAGGCAACAGTAATTATTTGGGAAAATAAGGATTATAAGGATCATACCCCGCTGGGCCTAGAAACTCCCGTTAGTGCAATGTGCAATGAGATTAGGAATTCCAGGGTAATAGGGTCTTGTCACACTAAAATCTTCATGTAGATCAAAAAAGTATATAATGGTGATATATATGATCAATATGTTTCAAACAAACAAACATTGTAGAAAATGTTTACATACTGACTTTGCAGATGACATTTTCTAGCAGTTGAAGAATTTTTTACATTTATTGAAATGATAGTCACATGTTCTCCTACTGAATGTAAAACAGAGTGAATAAGTTTAAAATCAGCCTCTTCAAGAGTGGAATTTAACAGAGGATTTCAGTTATCATTTTCACAGATATTTAAGTTCTCTCCAATAGTTCCACTTAAAACAATCTTGACATTTGGCACATTTTTAGAATGCTGCTTTATCAAATTTCTTTGTAATCTTTGAAAATTTGTTTTATATGACTTGGCCAAAAGGTATTCATATTTTTAGGTAATGGTGTAATTTCTTCTTTGGATTAAAGTTCAGTAGGGGAAGCATCCATTCTTTGCATTCTTTCAGAATCTTTTACTGATGGAGACTACTAGGAGTCTAATATGGAATCTATTCTTTGGGCTCCTTTGCTAGATTTGATGGAGTAGTCAAATATAGCTTTCCAAAACTCTCCAAATTTCAACATATAAGTTAATCTTAATTTTCCTTTTGTCATAGCCATTGCATCGATCACGAAAGTTTTATCAATTTGTGGTATGGTTTCATCGATCTCCATTTCAAACCCCTTTTCAAGTTCTGATTTTACAGATAGGATAGATGATCATTGTCAAACGAACTGTTTGTATCCATATAAGATCATAGTTAACTCACACATAGCTAGGCAATGTGTGTCCAATTCCAGCCAATTCAATACTTCATATAAATGCATTCCAATTTACTACTCTCATAAACCCAAAGTCAATTTTAGATTCTAGAGAAAGTAATGAAACCAATAAGCTGATCAATAACATTGACTAAAAATCTATAAATAGCATCATAGGGAATAGCATGCCAAGTGCTTGAATTTATGTGGATTACTCATTTGGTAGACACCTTTATCAAATCTTAAAGTGTTGTTGATTTTCAAGTTGTACAAGCAAAGTGTCATGGGTGCTTTCTTTTCCTGACATAGTATTAACATTGTGGTAAAAATTATCAAATGCGCCTAGTACAGTAGTTCTAGTTCATCATCTTGTATAAATGATATATCATCAGTGAAACCTGTATATCCCAACATCTGACTATTGTGAAAACCTACCAATCATCCCAACACCTGACTAATCTGAACACTTTTTCCAGTCCAAGTTTTCTTCCCATTGACTCCTATGTTTAAAAAAATGAAATCTGGACACCTTTTACTTCGAACAGTGAACACTCATATTTGAAAAATTAACCTGTCTAACTTGAACGCTTTTTACCAAATATCACATATTTCTTACAAAATTCCTCAAATATTGTCAGTTTAACACTGAATTGTTATGATATCAAAACTTTTGAATTGGATTTTGGAATGCTATGAAGCTTTTTATGTGGTTAGTATAAATATTATTAATATTTTTCATTGAGAATGCATTCATATTTCTTCAAAATCCAGAACTTGTATTGTAGATGTAAAAACCTCAAAATTCAAACACTCCTAATTAGAATGCTTTTAGCTGGTCCAAATACCAGTAGCATTCAGATTAGAGAGATTTTACTGTAGTTCACGACTTTTCACCCCATCTATATGCAGCAGACTAACTGCTGCAACAGGTATATATTCTACACCTGGTCTCTAAGCTATGATATCATAGTTGATACTATTATGCTCATAACCTTCAATTATTAGGGCTCATTCAAGGCTGTACCTGAATAATGTGAATTTGAGACCAATTTTGAGATTGAAATTGAAAAAAGCAGGGGTGAAAGGGCTTGAAAATCAGGACAACATTTCCGAAAAAAACATGTGGGTGGATTGTTTGCACCTTCGCTGTCTCAAAGTCCAAACTATTTTATCATCTCTAAGAGTTCTTTTCCTGTAGGTAATGCAATGGCCTATCATATGCACCTGCTTAAATCCTCAGGAAACAGACAAATCTAACATATGACTGTCTGAAATATGTTGCAATACTTTCCGTGCTCCTTTGAGACCTGATATTTCTAAATTTTTCAAACATTGCACTTGTTAAAATTCTTAAACTTCCTTAAAATTCATCTTCGGTATGTTTTACTTCTTAGTTTCACACTCTAAAAATATATGTTTCATCATAGAGGTATGGATGAAAAAGCCATAAGGGTCATCCATGGCTGTACCTAACATTCGTAAATTTGAAACCTTATATTTACAATTTTTCAAATTTTGGACTGTGTTTAAAATCTTTAACTTCCTTAAAACCCATCTAAATTATGTTCTACATCTTTAGTTCCATACTACAAAACCATAAATATCACCAAAGAGGGATGGATTTAGAAACTATAGGGGCCGGCCATGGCTATACCTGGAATTCGTAAATTTGAAACCTTATATTTACAATTTTTCAAATTTTGGACTTGTTTAAAACCTTTAACTTCCTTAAAACCCATCTAAATTATGTTTTACATCTTAGTTCCACATGGCAAAACCATAAATATCATCATAGAGGGATGGATCTAGAAACTATAGGGGTCAGCCATGGCTATACCTGGAATTCGTAAAATTGGAACCTTATATTTACAATTTTTCAAATTTTGGACTTGTTTAAAACCTTTAACTTCCTTAAAACCCATCTAAATTATGTTTTACATCTTAGTTCCACATGGCAAAACCATAAATATCATCACAGAGGGATGGATCTAGAAACTATAGGGGTCAGCCATGGCTATACCTGGAATTCGTAAATTTGAAACCTTATATTTACAATTTTTCAAATTTTGGACTTGTTTAAAACCTTTAACTTCCTTAAAACCCATCTAAATTATGTTTTACATCTTAGTTTCACACTATAAAACCATAAATATCATCATAGAGGGATGAATCTAGAAATTATAAGGGTCAGCTATAGTCATACACAAAATCCAGCTGTCAGAAATGTCAAATTTTTCAAAAAATCAACAATTTTTTTCTCAGCTCCTACCTCTTCCATGGCTTTGCATCTTTCAGGGTTACTGACCCTGCTATTGGGCACTTCACATGAATTTTTCCAGCCTCTTACAGTGTCTAATTGAAAAGTTAGAATCAAAATAGTAAGAAAATGAGTCACGAATTTGCCCCCTGGGGTACATACTTTGTACTAATTTTCAAATTCTTTAGGAGTTATCAGCATCAATTATACTGCAAGTGATTCATATATATAATATCTATGTATGTCACTTACAAACATCAAAATATCTAAGGTTATTTAGTGTGAACAATTTTTTTCCCAGGGTGGGGTGTTTTTGGGGGGGTGGGGGGCTAACTCCTCAAAAAAAGAACTTCCTACCACTCTGTGAAGCTATCACCTAGGTGGAAGTTTCATCCAAGACTCTCCCCTAACTGAAAATGCTGCCAAACCAACTATACACCATTTATTGAGAATTTTCCTCCTCGCCCCTTGAGTACAGGATAATATTATATCATATTTTCTCAAAGAAAAAATAAATATTCAATCAAGACCATACCATTTTTTCTTATCTATTATTTTTTGTATGTCCTCACACAATGATGGTGACATAAAATGGTATAAATTAATCTATAATATGACATTTTCAACTTTTGTTCTACAAGATTTAAAATAGAAATAATTTGTAATAATTAAATAAATGGACCATAATATGCCATAATAACACAATATCTAGTCTCATGAAATTTCCTGATTGTTCTGATTCAGGATACAATACAGGATCTGATACAGGATTTTGGTTGATACAGGAACTCATTATTTGTTGTTTCAGGTGTTGCTCTTAGCAACGTTGATGTTTGCGCTAGTAAAAAACACTCAATCAGCAGGTAATAACATTTATTATGCACCTTGTCTAGATACTGAAATCTGATTGGTTCTGAGCTGCTGGTAATTTGGACATATCTGGCTTTTATAAAATAAAACTGCTCAATATTTTTTTGCAACTGGCTTATATTTTTTTGCAACTGACCAATATCTTTTTCAATGTTTTTGCAACATTCCCTACTAAGAGTTTTATTTCTCAATAACTCGAGTTCTACTAAAAGACAACATCAGAGACTGACGGCATATAGAAGGAAGAAACAAGACACACAGTGATAAATATCGCACTTTGAAGAGCAAACTGGCCACCATGCAATTTACCCAGCATGGCCAAAACCTTATCAGACCTTGGCACTAGTCTGCTCTTGCATCTGTAAACATTTCAAGTTGACAAGGTTAGCGGTTTTCATGCAATTTTGATGACAAGAATTTATTTGTAGTCTTGAACTTTGGGAAAATTTAGATAACATTGTTTGTGACCTAATTGATGATTTGCGATCACCGAATGTATTCTATCTTGTAGTGACGTCACAACAAGGCCATCCAGCTTTAGATGTTTGATTTTGAGAGATCATCTTCTATATTTCGTGCTTTATTGATTTATTTTTCACGAAAGCGTTCGATTTGACTAGATCAACATTCATGCTAAGCACATACCAAGTCTAAGATCTTACTGACATGATTTAGATAGCGGTTTAAGCGCCCCCCGATTTTGACAAAAACGGGGGGCGCTTATAGGCATCGATGTTTAGTATGAATTTCAACCAAACTTCAGACATATATAGATATACTCATGATCTAGTCAAATCGGCATATCTGGTAAATATCCGACCCATGGTTTTCATAAAAGAAACGACAATATTTTAAGCTCAAAACTGCTACGTGTCCGCCATTTCGTGATTCCATCATGTCTAATATCATTTCTATATGACGTCACACCAATAAGACGAAATACATGACAACAGTATCCATAAACAAAGTTCCTGAATTCTAATCGCAAAAGGTCAATTTGATGACCTTTGACCTTGAAAATTCAACTTTTTCAGACCTCAGTAGGTGTTTTGTAATTAAGCTGACCTAAATTTAAATCCAAAATATCAATTTAGAAAATCAAATTTTTGACCTTTTCAAGGTCACTGAAGGTCAACGAAAGGTCAAATCTGAAATGTTTTAAAAAAAATTTGGTCAATTTGGAGCAAGTTGAAAAATTCAAAATGGCCGCCAAATTGAAAATTTCAAAATGGCCACCATGTAATTCAGCCAGCATACCCAAAACCTAATCAGATCTTGGCAATAGTCTGCTCTTACATCTGTAAAAATTTCAAGTTGAACGGATAAGTGGTTTTCCTGGAATTTTGATGACAAGATTTGTTGAAAAATTCAAAATGGCCGCCACGTAGTTTACCCAGCATGCCCTAAACCTAATCAGATCTTGGCACTAGTCTGCTATTGCATGTGTAAACATTTCAAGTTGAACAGGTTAGTGGTTTTCTTGGAATTTTGATGACAAGAATTGATTTGTAGTCTCAAACTTTGAGAAACTTGGATAACATCATTTGTGACCTAGTTTAATGACCTTGACCTTCGACCTTGAAAATTTCACTTTTTCAGACCTCAGTAGGTCTTTTGTAATTAAGCTGACCTAAATTTAAATCCAAAATATCAATTTAGAAAATCAACTTTTTTGACCTTTTCAAGGTCACTGAAGGTGAATGAAAGGTCAAATCTGTGACCTAGTTTAATGACCTTGACCTTCGACCTTGAAAATTTCACTTTTTCAGACCTCAGTAGGTGTTTTATAATTAAGCTGACCTAAATTTAAATCCAAAGTATCAATTTAGAAAATCAACTTTTTTTGACCTTTTCAAGGTCACTGAAGGTAAACGAAAGGTCAAATCTGAAATCTAAGGTCAGATTTGAACTTCTGAGAACTTGTAGATGTTTTTAAAAAAAAATTTGGTCAATTTGGAGCAAGTTGAAAAATTCAAAATGGCCGCCAAATTGAAAAATTCAAAATGGCCACCATGTAATTCAGCCAGCATACCCAAAACCTAATCAGATCTTGGCAATAGTCTGCTCTTGCATCTGTAAAAATTTCAAGTTGAACGGATAAGTGGTTTTCCTGGAATTTTGATGACAAGATTTGTTGAAAAATTCAAAATGGCCGCCACGTAGTTTACCAAGCATGCCCTTAACCTAATCAGATCTTGGTACTAGTCTGCTCTTGCATCTGTAAAAATTTCAAGTTGAACAGGTAAGCAGTTATCCTGGAAATTTGATGACAAGATTTGGTTTATGTGCCGCCCGCACGCCCGCACAACCGCACGCCCGCCCAACAGCACGAGACGACAACAATATAGCACTTTTTCAAAGTGCGATAAAAAGGTGTACTTAATCAATCACAGTTACCCTTATGATTCAAACATTACGCATAATTCTGCAAGAACGCCTCAAACAAATGTAAATTAAATCCCGGGTGAATAATAAAACAAATATTTGTATGATATTTCTCCATATATTCTGATATGTAAATTATGTTTACCTCGGGGGAATGTAAAATATAGTTTATCAATTATGATAGTTGCTATACTAGCATTGCAACACATGAGATTTGCTGATTTTGTTGCTCACAACACAACATAAACGCTAAATCATTTACAATAACGCAGACGCGAGTAGGTAGTTACCAGTTTCGCCACCAGGTGGCTCGTTCGGGTCAGATAACATGGCGGGTATAGTAGAAAGTTCCCTTTAACTTAAATTACATCTGTTTTAGTGGTTCAATTTTTATATAACCCTTATGTATCTAATAGTTATACAAATTAAAATATGTCCAGTAAAGGAAAATGATATCTGTCCAATACAAGAAAAGATATTTCACTTTTTGTGATTTTGTAACATGAGGTCTATGAGGAATCAACCTGAACTAAAAGTCACATTTTCAAAAAAAATTAAATTTTCGAAACCATTTTTCTAGACGTACTTTTACATGTAGATTTCAAATATGACATCACTTTGACTGAATTTTGAATATTTAATGACATAAATCAAGATTATTTCTATTCGCATCTAGTCTATTGGTCAAAGAGACATCAACACTAATCTTTCTCACTGTTGAAGATGTACTGATGATATATACAATAAATACTATGATGTTATATAATGGTTGATTCCGTATATCGTGTTTATACTCAAGTGAGTATATGATATATGCACGAGTGACTGAAGGGAACAAGTGCATATATCATATACTCACGAGAGTATAACGATATACAGAATCAACCATTATATGATCTTATTATCCCACCCTAATCATTAATCAATAAAAGGTTAATTTAAATTCAGCAGTTGTATATCAAGTCGAAGAGTTGTATACGCTGCCCAGGAGTTGTATATCATTCTCAAGAGTTGTATTATAACGATGAGTGTTGGTTTTACATTGCAGTTATACAATGCTATAATACAATCATATAAAGCACTTAGGGTGGGATAAAATATAATATATATACAATATATCCAATACACTTATGATATTTTAGAAAGAACTGCATAATTACCCAGCAGAAACAGGAATATTGTCATCATTATTTATGACTAGAAAATCTGACAATGTGACAACTCATTTCAAATCATTAATTGATGAGGCAAATCTGTGATGATTTTTGAGCCAATCAAAAGACACTTTAGAAAATGTTAATGGTCATGTGATTATATAGAATATTATACATCAAATGCAATATGGGAGATAATGGGGAGATAATCAATAGGTTAGGGGGGTAGGGTGGAGTGCAGGATGGGCAAGTTGAACCAAAAGGGGAGAATCATTCAGTGAGAATCTAGGAAGATTAATGCTTTGTTTTATGATTTCAGCAACAGAAAAAACAGTGGAACTCCGTTCAAGAGACTTTCCCGGGTATCTACTGAAGCCAGATGCAGATAACAAGGTTTGGCTTGTTCAACACACAAATGATGACTCTGGGTTATGGACAATGCAATCACCAGGACTCAATCTTGAACCTAACACTGTATCTCTCGAGTACAAGGCTAAACCTGGCTATTTTTTAAAGAGTAAATTCGATAACGAAGTTATCATACAGACAGCAACTTTGGCAGGTAGCTCCTTTGAAAAGACTGCATCGTGGATATTGCTTAAAGATGAATATTTTCCGAGGTCTTTCACTCTGCAAACAGGAGACACAGAATCTGTAAAACTCTTACGTCATAATGGTTTTCAGGCAGGATTAAGCAATGATGATGGCACAGTGAGTTTCAAAAATGCTGCCAGCTTCTACCTAGGTAATATTATGCTTAAGATTTCCATTCCCACACTCGGTTCGGCTTAATTAATACATGTAATTAAACATCTCTCTTTGTGGATGAAGTTTGAGAGGGGGTGGGGTAAAATGCTATACGATGACAGACATTGATTTTTAGTTTCCTGGGGTTTTGTTTTCTGTAATCTTGTGTCACGCTTTTATTATACATAGCTATGGTCCATTTTTCATTATCTGAACGTATGATGTTTTACTGTGCAATCACTATCATTAGGGGTTTATGAAGTGATTTAGCTTGGTTGCCACAAAATCAACTTTGGGGAAAAATTAACTAGAAGGAGTTGTAAATCCCACCGAACAAAACACATTTTGATAATTAGTGGCCATCTTGAAAATCCCTTGAACAGAGCATATCAATTACTCAGATGCGAGTTGGTAGTTACCAGTTTCGCCACCAGGTGGCTGATTCGGGGGAAATAACATGGCAAGGTATTACAAAATTCCCTTAAACTTGAATATTCATCAGTTTTAATGGTTCAGTTTTCATATTACCCTAATGTATCTGATAGTTATACAAATCAAAATATGTCCAGTAAAAGAAAATTTTATCTGCCCAACACAAGAAAAGATATTTCCATTTTTGTGATTTTACAACATGGGGGCTATGGGGAATCTCCCCGACCTAGAAGTCGCATTTTCAAAGAAAATTAAATTTTCAAAGTTGATAAACTCTTTTTAAAATCATATTTCTAGATGTAATTTTACATGTAGATTCCAAATATGACATCAGCTTGACTTAATTTTGAATTTTTAATGACGTAAATCAAGATTATTTCTACTCGCATCTAGGCTATTTCTAATATTTAAACCAATACTTTCTCGAACAGGGCTACTATGTCCCTAGGCATCAGCATATGAAATTTGAACCAAATCCATTTACTGTTATTTGAGTTATGAAAGATTGCGTTTTTTGGGGGAAAAGTGGCGCCCATTTTGAAATTCAGATGCCATCTTGAAAATTGATTCTTGAACAACAGTGTCCCTTGGCTTCAGCATATAAAAATTTGAACTAAATCCATTCACTGTTTTTTTCGTTTTTAACGAAAAAACGACGGCCATTTTGAAATTCAGCCGCCATGTTGAAAATGTTTTCTCAAACACAGCAACTGTGTCACTAGGCATCAGCATATAAAATTCGGATGAAATCTGGTTACTAGTATTTGAGTTATTAAAGATTACCTTTTCTTGCGAAAAATGGCGCCAATTTTGAAAATCAGCAGCCATCTTGAAAATCTCCTCTTGAATAAAAGGTCCTTTGTTCCTAGGCATCAGCATATAAAATTGGAACCAAATCCGTCCACTAGTAATTGAGTTATCATAGATTACATTTTTTGCAATTGTCTTTTTGATATATGCGAACGGCTTTCCTATATCCCCCTCGAACTTCATTCGGTGGGATAAATATGCAACTACAAATGTACATGTATATGTTTCCCCATTGTGACATACATGATGGTATCCTGTTGCTAAGTCATAGTCAACCACATGTTAAGCCAATGCACCTTTGCTGAAATCCTCATTTTCTCAAAACAACTCAGGTTGATGGACCCTCAACAAGTAGATTCATGTTGGTGACTCTTGTTTGAATCTGTTTTCAATAGAAGAATAGAGGTTCTTAAACAGGATGTGTGGCTTGCTTTTAAGAACTTTATGTTGGTACTTAATATTTCAATAATGGACTCCCTAATTAGCCAATGTAATTTTTTCGATGAACAAACTTTTTTGATAACCCAATTAAATCACTTCATAAAACCCTTATTATCATAAATCAACCATAAAACATTGTTCTTTTAATAATTCAAACATTCACTATAGGATGTATGGGGGTGACAAATGGACAAATATAGTTATGTATCTATATAGCAAACAAGCTATGCTGAATCATGCAAGTGAACTATTTGATTTTGTGATTTTGCAGTTGCTCAGGGCTATCACATTCACACAATGGGGGGCCCAGTGCAAGTATATGACTCAGCTGGGGGTTTGAGTTATATGAATATTTATACAGATCTGCGTTTTGAGGCACATGGAGAGGTTCTTGTTTGGAGATACCGTGCTAGAAACACAAACACATTCTGGGCAGATGTTTGGAGACCCTTGCTTACTGGTGGGTATAAGCTCATCGGAAAAAATCGGATTGATCCACCAGGCAGTGGTAAGTATCAAACTGGAGAGAAAATATAGCACTTTTAAAAAACACTGCATGTACCCTGTAGTCTAGTGGTGTCAATTAACTGCTTGAGCATTAACCGGTTAACCGGGTGTTTTTACCGGTTAAAGTCGGTTAACCGGCGGGAAATTTGAACTGATAATTCCAAATGAAATCTTCATCTTCGATCTTGAAAGTTAAAAAAAATTGGAAAAATGATATATCGGCGTTTATTTTTTACGTTCGTCAAGCTTTACTCTATTCATACACTACCTGACAACCGGTACCTCTAAATTACTTACCACATTGGTTTACCCTTGGAATCTCCACGAACGCACCGAAACAACGAGAATTGCAGCTGATTAGTCTTTATTTTAATTTCAATTTTCTCACTACCCAAGCGAGGCTTTGATCTTTGACATTTTGGCGACGTTGATAGACAACAATAACAAAACTGACGAATTAAAAAATGCATGTAATTTATTTATGAAATTGTTTTGCAATATGTAAAATTAAAGGAATTATCTGGCCTATGAGTTGATTACACATGGCTGACACTTGAAAAACAAACAGATTAACATGCAAAGTAAGGGGTTAAAGTTGCTAATTGGATGTTTGTAAGGAGTTACCGGACTTATGATATGTATGAGTAGCTTACGTGAAACTGACACTTTAAAACCAAACAGATTAGCATGCATCAAAGCGCGGGAAATAACTTACAGAATTATACACGGTCAACTAACCACCGATAAAAACGCAGACCGGTCAACGCATTATCGGCGGTTAACCGGTTAACCGGTTAATACTTGACACCTCTGCTGTAGTCTATTAGGTAAAATTTGTATATCCACCAAACCTCTGTAATCTGAACACCTTTCAATATTATGATCAATCGGTGCCAATGTTTTTAGCTCCCATTGAAATATTAAAAGAACTTGAAATGTGAACACCCACTAATATAAATGCTTCTGACCAGTTCAGACAGCATTTGAATGAGAGGTTTTACTTTATATTATTCTATCTATACAAATACAAATCACATCCACATAAAACCTGTAACAATTAACAGTCTGTGACATAAACAAACTTGAAACTTTAGAAAATTATGATACATTAAACCTGTATTAGTGAACACATCTCACTTACTGTCAATTTCTGGACAACTTTTAAAATTTGATATATATATATGTATATTGGCCTATTTTCTAATTGCAAATATTACTGTTTTTAGGTTATCACTCTTATACTGTTCCTTTTCGTGAGACAATAATATTCCAACCTGGGGATGTAATAGGAATCCATACTGCTGGTCAATCAAATCTTGGATACGGATCAAGCTCAGATGGTATAAGTAAAGTTATATCTTTAGCCATGTATGACAGTGCATTACCAGTTGGGAAAACATTAAGCGCAGCTTCAATCTGTTGCAGGAAATTACCACTGATGGCATATGGGCAACAAAGTAGGTCTAAGATATTATGTAAATCTCAAAATTTCATGTCCAAATTTTTCAAACACTTTTAGTAGAACATCCTACATACTGCTGAACTGTGCTTATCAACTTAATTTATCAGCTGTGCTTTTTCTGGGCTAATTTATCTAACTGTACCAATACCATGCATGATATAAGAATGTTTTTACTGTTCCAGTGGTGCCTATCTCATTCAACCCAAGACATGGTGAAGCAAGCCTCCTTGATATGAACAAAGTTGAAATCTTAGACGGCAACCTAAACACATGTGTTGATGTCAAAATAGGAACAACTCTGAAATTTGACGAAGACATTTCTGGTTACTCCGAGTACAACATCGTTGTCTACACGAGAGGTTCTCCAAACTGTCTCACCAATCACACAATGTATGTCTATGAAGAAGTAACAAGTCCCGGGGACTTCACTGGATCTTTCGAAACTTGCAATTATCTAGACTCGAAAGTTGTACAAACAATGAGTGGTTTGGTAACTGGTTGCATATGGAGCTGTGGATGTGAAGCTAATATTTGTAGGAAAGGATATGTAGCAATTGTTACCAATGTAATACTCTGTGAGGTATACATTGAATATTAAAATTTTAGTTGAAGCTAAATGTTTGTTGCCAGACAATACAGTATGTATACAGTATGCCCAGTATGTTTGTAGAGAAATGTATTTGTTTTGACAAAGATAATTGTTGCAATTTTAATATTTTCCATCAATTATTCAAACTTCATTGCATTTTGCATTTATCTCATTTCAAAGATTGCATTGCCACGCACACAAGAGTCAACAGAGTAAGCCATAACACAGTCAGACAATATGAGACAAAGGAACTGAGGCAACATCTAAAATTCAATACATCTCAATTTTGGATTTATGGGTACTTTTAATGTGTCTGAGACAATATTATAAATAGAATGAATTCAGGATTTTTTTATTTGTTAGTTGGAGGTACCACACAACCTCAAAAAATTTTATAATTCTAAGATACCATTTGGTGATTTCTTGGTACTTTTAAATTGTACAAGTATTGTATATATTGTATCAATTAAAAAAGAAACTTAAAACCTTTTTTTAACATTTTTTCTGCATGCCATAGGGGTGTGCGGTCTTTCCACATCCTTTGCAACCCCCCCAAATCTAATGGGCCTGTATATACAATAAATAAGAATATAAAATCATATTTCCTTGCTTCAAAAACACAATTCACACGTTTACTCACACCTGTATGTTAAATATTGTGGATATGATAAATTTTGTAGATATGAATTTTATTCTAATCTTGCACCTATCTCAGTAAAACTTGTTAATATGAGCTGGATCATGAAGCCTGTCTACATGGTTAACTCATTACTTATTAATTTACTTCAAATTATCTTTTCAATAGTTCTACTGAGCCTAACAACGGCAATAACAACAATTGTTCATATGGCTCTGTCTGTCTTGACTATGCATTGTATATTTTAGCAAATAATCAGATTTTAGATGTGGTTCAATGAAACGGTTGCACAATACGCCTCGTACAATGAGCCAAAGTATACAAAAAAATTAAGTAAAATGTTGAAAGATTTTAGTTGGGATTTAAAGATGACTCCTCTAGTCTTGTACTCTTGTAATTTTATTGATTTTTTGTAATAAATCATTTTGTTAAACTCAATGTTTCCCTTGGGATTTTTTCTCAAATTTGAGCAAAATACTCATTTTGTCCAAATTTTGCCTATTTACATGATTTTTCACATTTTCAAGACAATGCAGGTTTTCTTCAAAATCTCAATTGGGGGTAGCGGCCAACTGATTAATAAATGCTATGGAGATTACCGATATATTCTTTGTGTAACTGTAAGGTTTTATTCTTAACTACTTTAATTTTGGGGAGTTCACGGATTGCATATAGAAGATGAAGATGTTCCATAATAAATGTATACAGTTAAACCTGTCTAATCCGAACACCCATGGGACCAGCCAAAAGCGTTCAAATTGGCAGGTGTTCAAATTTCGAGGATTTTGTTGGTCGGGGGGGGGGATTTTCATTGTTCAGTGCACTATATTGAACACTTAATACTAAGTCAGAAAACAATACATGTTGTTGTTGAGTTAATTCTACAATAGGCCTATAGCCTATATGCTATGTTTTATTTATATTTTGAACAATTTCATCATTTTAGTAAAAATAACTCTTATATTTTGGCAAAAACTTTGTAATACACTGTAAAAGTATATGATAGTCTCGTACGAAATCTTATGCTTATCAAATGGCTTATCCCATATTATGGTTATATAGCACTGCTTTACTTTTGCTTGAAAAAGTCCTTCATTGTTGTTTGTTTCTTGGGACTTATAGCATTAGCAATATTTGAGTAGATATCCTCTTCAAGTAAAAATAATTTTTCATGAGTTCATTCAAGATGATGTATAATCCTTCAAAATATCAAGGGCATTCAGGATGTCAGATGTATGCGAATATTACGAAGTTGGATTTTTTCTCCTTCTCGTGATATAATCGTGTCTGCAAATGGCGTCTGTGTTGTCTTTATGATTATAAAACATTTACTGATTGAATCTAAACTATCATAATAGACCCATGGGATATAAAACAGTTAAGACCTGTTCATAATCCAAATCAAAAACATCCAGTTAATTTACAATAAGGACAAACCAATTATCTCCCAGACTCTCACCTTTCTCTTAATCAAATCAAAAACATTCAGGTGATTTCCAATAATGATAAATCAATTATCTTCTTGATTCACACCTTTCTCTTAATCCAAAGATAAAACATTCAGTTGTTTTCTCATAGGATAAACCAATTAACTCCTGTATTCACACCTTTCCAAAACATCCTGCTGTTTTCCACAAATTAGGGATGTCACTGAGACTAAATAAGTTAATTAGGACAATTGGTTCTTTGATTGCATTTGTATATATGTAAAGATAAATAACAACTATAACATTGACTCAATATGTGGCTTTAATTGAAATGTCCAGACATTTGATTTCTGATAAAAATGTTCAGATTAGACAGGTCACTTTTTCAAATCTGGTTGTTCACTGTTCAAATTAGGAGGTGTTCAGATTTCAAGGTTTTTTTAACATGGGAGTCAATGGGAGGAAAAAATGGGACCGAAAAAAAGTGTTCAAATTGGAAGGTGTTTGGATTAGCCAGGTGTTCAGATATACAGGTTTTACTGTATGTATATATAAATATCTGTGTCTGTACTAATATGCCTAATTCAAGACTTAACCAAGTTTAGGGGTATTGTAAGTAGTAAATGTGGGAGAAGTAAATAGAAGATACTTTAACTGTATTTCCCAACTCAGATCTTGAAATGCCATCCAACATCTCCCACATTTACTACTTACAATACCCCTAATTTAGCCAGTTACACAGCATCTTATATCAAACATCATCTACATCATAAATGTATTCTTACTTGTTGAGTATCCCAGCCAGAGCAGGGTCATTCCCAGTCCTGGGGTCAGACAGGTTAGGAAGGTCATCGGGGTCACTAGGGTTGACGACTGCGTCTCCGATCACATTAATAGCCACTAGTCCCACCTGGTTGTAGAGGTTGTGCTTGTTGACGTGGTTTTTGTGGATGACCAGCTTCAGGAAGAGACCTACTGCATCTACATGGACAGACTTCAGTTCCCGAGCTTTAAAGCCAGTTTTTTCATTGCTGGACAATTCAATATAGCTGAAAATTGAATGGGTAAAAGTTTGTGTATTGATATACATGTAAATTGATCAGTATAATTTTAAATCCCATCTATTTATGGAGCTGAAAAATTGACTTACATCACAATTTTTAATATTTTTCTTCAGCCCTAAGTAAGGGTAAGGGAAATATACAAATCTTGTGATAAAAATTGTTCAGTATTTGTCAATCCTATCTTTTTTATTAACATGATCCCAGAAATCATGCAAACTACAATTCAACTCACCCTAGTCTTGTGTATCTGGCATGCTGCAAAGTAGGTGGTGTCCCATCAGGCACGTCTCCAACATAGAACTCTACCTTGGTGGCTACCAAAAATTGATGGGATAGAAGTTGCACCTTGCGCAGCCTGCTTCTGAAGTCAAGTTTCACTACTATGTCTTGTGGGTAAAGGCAAAATCTGAAAAAGGTTAAAATTCGAATAAACCTAGCTGTATTTTTGGACAAAGGTGTGTTTTCATTAAGTAGATCTGAATTCCCTTGTTGTTCTGTAAGAATAGTATGATACCACTAAGGAGGAAATAGCCCGGAATTCATAGAATCTAATTCCATGTATAGATGAATATCTTGAGGTTCACCTTTACATGCACATAGGTTCATCTATGAATTCTGGGATATTTCCCCCTCTTCCCATTTACAGATTATTAAGTTTAGCCCGCAGTGAATATTAGACTAAAGGAGATTGGTTGGTACCTTGCAGACTGCCAGCCTTTTGTAAGAGGACTGTGAGTATTCAATTCTACAGCTTTGAAATGTTCATCTTGGCCAGAAACATGGATAACACGGAATGGTAGTTTTGTTGGCATGGTGCTGAAACAAAAAAAAGATAATTGTATTTTTGTATATCATTCTAGCAGGTGCATTTTCACTGTATGCCTGAGTTCTACCAATATAGACTGACCTTGGGAGGCTCTATAGTTGGGCAAGAGCGAAGGCATATTTCCTGTTAGAGTGACATAGCTGATCAAAGGTTTGCATGAGATCCCCAGTTTGAAAAATTGTCTGAAACAAAAATGGTGGTCATAAAAAGGGAAACAGATGATTTCAAATTTTCAAATTGCTTATCATTCATTAAATAGCAATTATTTTGAACATTTTCTGAAAAATTTAAAGGATTCTATTTGGTGAACTTTCCGAAAGGAAAGTCACATTTTCAGAGGGCTGAATAAGCTATTTCATCATGTCTAAGGTCATTCTGGCCATCCCCATTGTGATCCTTTGACGAAAGGTCAAAATAGAACTCTGTTCCGCAACACCCTGACAATAGTCAAGTCAGATACTGTTGTCACAAATAACAGCCATGGTGTTTTATTCATCAACTGCATGCAACTAGATTAAATGCCTTTGGTACAACAATCAATCAAAGTGTCTTTCTACTCATCATTAGTTAAATCTGGTGTACTGTCGATCGTCTACTATAGATCTACAGTCTCTCAGTCTTATTTCTTATCTGACAAATGGTGTGGCCTGTGACAAGGTTTAACTTCCGTGCATATTCAACCAACTACTAAATTAAGTGGTAGCACAATTTGGGCCAGCGCTTGTAATTATGAATCTGTGATGTTACTCCTTGAATAATAAGATCCAAGCAAAAATAATATAAGAACACAGTGTTCGCGCTAGCCATTTAAATTTTTGAGTCCCAGGGACGCAACACATTTAAAAAATGTGAGTCCCGTCTAATTTTTTTTGCGTCCCTCATATTTTGTTATTAAAGTGAAAGTGAAGTGGGCGATAATAGAGTGCTTACGCTAAAACGGGATAAAGTGACATATATTGTAATTCTATGCATTCTCCCGATAAATATCTATCATTTGGTCCTTTTCACCCAATTCTTTACTAATGTTATACCAAAATTCTCCGAAATGAATGAAAGAAATACTCAAATTAAGAGTTGTTTTCACATTTTACCAACCACCGATCTTCAAGGTCGTGTCAAGGTCACGAACTTTTTGTTTCTTTTTATAACATATCTCGATCCTTACTCTGACGACTTTTGGATGAAAAACGTTGATCTATCATTAAATAATTATATTGATGTATAACATTAGATCGGTATCTAACGGTTCCTAGTGGAAGTAAGCTTAACTAAGATTATCGTGAAAAACAAGTCTCAATTCTCAATTTTGAAACTAATGTTTGCGTACAACAGATTATCCAGCTTCGGTATACTCCGGAATGACTCGGAGGGCACTAGAGCCAATCAAATGCTGTGTTTCAGACTAGAAACCCGCGAATATACTGAGACACTCCGGTAGCCAATCAGATTTGCCGACATAAACATTATTGAGATCAAGGAAGTAGACGATTTGAAAATTGTTCAGAAAATCATGTTTTATCACTTCTACGCTGCAGTAAAAGTTACCTGATGGTGGTGTAGGATCTTTGCGTCCCAGGGACGTAAGTTATCTCTGATTTTCCCGTCCGACCTCTTGAAATTTCCGTAAAAACGAGAAAAAACGGCGTCAACGCGAACACTGAGAACACATCATCCCATTGTGTGATGATAGGGCAAAGGTGTGTAACGTCCATGTGTGATATAATGTCAACCCCGGGGATGTCAACATAAGAAATGGGGTAACCTCAACACTTAAAAATTAGAATTTCTGCCAAGTTTGATTTCAACAATAAAAAAAGTCTCATGAAAAACATGGCTTCTACCTTGATTGGAAATTAGATCAGATGAACAACAAGGTGTCAAAGTTACCCCACACAGTATGTCAAAGTTACCCCATACATGTATGTCAAAGCTACCCCACACAGTATGTCTGTACCCCATATGTCAAAGTTACCCCAAAATTGAAACAAAATGGCGTCATAGTTATATCCCTTCACTAGGTGTTTTTATATTTGTAGGGGGGGGGGGCTACGTGCCTTCATATTATTGTCAAGATTTTTTATTCATGAATGCATAGGGAGGAGGTTAAACCTTACTCGAGTCTCTAGCTTACAGCTAGACGAAACTTCATTGATTTCGTATGTACTGTGCTACACGCACCTACACGCACCTAGAACTCATTTTTAATAAATTTTATAAATATTTTTAAGAATATTAATCATATTTAGGATGAAGCGTTGCTTGTCTGGATTTAGATATTTCAAAATTTCATTTCGGAGTTTGACACATGGTGAAATTTTCTCGCTGTAGCTAAAAATGGCTTCCGGTTCTGGACGTGAATAACATTTGAAATTATTCTCGCTTAAAGAAATCAAATATAACAATAGATTCAGACGGGGATGTGAGCTGATGTTCTTCAAATCTATACATAAAGGTATATTTCATATTATTATGCCATATTTACTGTGCGTGTGACACAATGATTTACAATATTTATAATACTAAGGCAGCTCAATCTTCCTCCTCAAAGCCGGAATATAGAGAAGGCTTTGGACCGAAGTAAGTTAAACCCAATAACCGCTCCAGCAAAATTCAGATTAAAGAAAGAAAGCCATATAGACCTATTGGGTTGACCTAATGGATGGATGGGATTGGACAAAAAGTGATGTGAAATGGAATATACAGTTGGGGACATAAATAAATGACAGGTGGATTTGCTGAAGTGAGGATTTCCCATGTTAAAAATAAGAGAATTTACAAGAGGCCATACATCAGTGGATGAGATTATATGTATTATTGCCAACAACATCTGTTTGGGATGATAAAGTCGGAAAATGACAGTACCTGAAGTTGTGGTGATATTCAAGTCTTCATCTGCAATGCTTTAAATAGTCAAACAATGCCCCATTTAACAAGAATTATGCAAAATGTAATAAATTTACTTGACAACCGATTTTGTGTACAAAATGGCGATTTGAAATCTCGACTACAGATCACATGATCTTTGAAATAATTTGTACATCCCTTATTTTCTTTCAAATAAAGTACATTATAGACCCAAAACAGAAATGAATCAACCGCCTGTCGTAAGTTAACTATGTCAATGTTCATGTTATATCAGTGAAAATGCTTTTGAATAAGGAGGTTATTCGAGAATATTTGTATTCACGCGAGATTTGTTCAATTTCCGGTTTGGGAATTTTAAAAAGTTAGATTCCATTTACAATAGTTTTCCTTTTTTCTATTAATTTCTGCTGTATTGAGTATAATGAACAGTGTTACATGAAGCCATACAAAGTTCAAAATTGCAATGGCACCAAAAGAGTTGGTGTTGTGGCAAGTGACCTCCATGACCTCATCAAGAAAGGACAACAAAAACTCAAAATCAGAGTGAGTACTGAAGACAGTGAAGTTCACTGGAAAACTTTAGGCTAAATACTTCATCCATCAACAGTTGTCAGAATGAGCTAAATTCTAAGTTTCACGTCCTAAACTCTTCAAAATGGTCGAAAAATAGTCTAACTCCTTTTCACTTATCCCGTGCCAGGACTATAGTCCTGCGAACGTCTTATTCTTTTGCCTGTACGGTTACAACATGGGAGAATTTTCTACGCTTCTTACACTTAAGATACCTATTTCAATAGATTCCTTGTTATTTTAGCATTAAATTCTTTTCGTGTAGTTGAATCCACAATTGTCTGGGTTTATCGGCAAAATAAAGAAATTTCCGTCTTTGATCACAATATTTGCGTGTAATATTTAACTTATTTCAACTGTCAAATTCTTCCATTTATTGGTACATCCGGGCCACTTCCGGGTCAGTCAAACGGGGAATCCCCTTTTAAATTCAACCACCATCTTGGAAAGTGATGGAATATCTCTCGATGAAAAAGAAAAATGTTCACATTCTGCCGATATACCCAAACAATTGTGGATTCAACTACACGAAAAGAATGATAAAATATCCAGGAACCTATTGAAGTAGGTATCTTAAGTGTAAGGGGCGTAGATAATTCTCCCAAGTTGTAATCGTACAGGCAAAAGAATGCGCTTGTTACAGGACTATAGTCCTGGTACGGGATAACTTTTCACTCTTAGTAGCACCATGGGGGGGGGCAGGTGTAAATATTTTCGAAAAGGAACGGGTGATACATACATATATTTCGGACCAAATGCGTGACATGAACGGCAATCGCGTGCAAAGACCGAATGGAATGCGTTCGATTTTTTCTGCATTTCTGATTTTTACCGTATCGACTTTCATAAAAAACAATTTTTAGGAATATCAACATAACGTGTGATTTGCGTGATATTTGATCATACACGCTAAAATGATGCATGATTTCAAATTTTCCAGCAAATGCTTGACAATTACGCCTAATGCGTGAGGGTTGACAGGGCTGCCATGGGCTTTCAATAAAGAAGCCCATGGTAGCACAATAAATGAATCAAAGGCTTCTCCAAATGGTGGAACCGCATTTTGAAAGCTGTCACGTGTCATGTTGCAGTCTGGGAGCCAATCCTCTTTGCGGCATAATTGGGCTCCAAAATCACCTCAACATTTGAAGAGTCATGTGAAAATCATTTCAAATTTTTAGTTCCCAAATGGTCATTGTGGACACAAATTCCACTATATTTGTACTTTTTAGGACAGAGGAAATAGAGCTTCACTGAGGTAAGAATTTATTATATGTGCGACAGAATCTCTTTTTGATAGCGATAGTCATTATTTATGATCCTGACTATAACTGAGTTAGGCCTTTAGGCATGGGATTGGAACCCCCTGGCCAAGACTATATCCTCTAGTCTGAATTTTTATGTCCCCACCAAGGCCACCACATAGTGTGGGGCCACATTGTCGGCCTTGGCGCATCTGATGACTTTTTCTTCATGTGGCGTTTTTCATGAGAGTTTGGGCCAAAGGAAGAGGTGCGATAATCGGCAAATACATCCATGGTCAAAATGAATACTTAAGTGTAACTTGAAAAAAAGAATGTCATATAATTCTTTGGAAAATATTGGTGATAAGTGGCCTACACATCAATACAGTGCTGAATATAGGTACTAGTACTAGGTACTAGTCTGCATATAAATGTAAAAATATTAAAAAGCAACTTATTCATTTCGAAAAATCAGATGAATTTAATTTTTTTCATGGGGAAATTATAATAGAGAGTACACTACTTCCTTTGTTTAAGTGAACCCTCCTTGGAATTTTTCTGAAAAGTGAACCAACCTCAAAAACGAGAAGTGGAATAATGGCACATGTTTATTTATCATAATTTAGAGATTTTGTTCTCGCAACATGTACATCTGATTTTCGGCAGTATCTAGAGTTTCCATTTTTTGTTATATTTGACTTGAGACTTCCATCCGATTACCAGGCATGTGATGTGGTAACAAGTCTGCATAAGTGTTGTCTTCAAAGATATGGCAGCTAAATCTTGAGAAATCATGAAGTGGCAGAAAATAAACACAGGGTCAGTAGAAGGCTACCTATCCCCTTGAGGCATGTTAGTCTCAGGTATGTCTCAGAAGTATTTTTACACATATTTGTGTGTTTTATATTGTACTCCATGTGTATTGTATTGCAGGGTCGTGCAGAGCAAGTTCGTGCTGTCTTGGAAGATGGAACTGAGGTTGATGATGATGAATATTTCTACATGCTTCCTCCTCATACAGTTTTCTACTTGTTGCCACTAGAAACATCATTTGGATGTAAGTAGAATTGGATAGATTGAATTTGATTCTTATTTTAGCATACCACTGTACTGCAAAACATATTTTGATAGATATCACATATTTACTCTGTAACTACTCCATTCCGACACAAAAATGCAGCCAGTGGACTTGGGCTGATGATTTTCATATTGACATCCCTAAGACTATGCTTTGACATTAATTTTGTAAAATGCTATCACTTTGAATAAAGGCTCAACATTTAGACATGTATATATAAAATACATTGGCACCTTATTGTAGATGCGCTCCTGCTACAGACATTATTTGATCACGTGTCTAAAGCCAGTGGTAACAAAAAACTTCAGAGTGACATTACTGACTTTATTGAACATGGTGACGGAGGTGAAACCAAAACTTTGATGATGGAGTTTGTCAACCAACTTTCAAATAGAGATACAATTCATGCAGAAGATAGGAAAGATCATGAGGACTGGTTTGAAGGTAAGGATATGTTGTTGCTTGCTTGCCGCTAAGAATTACATGAAAGTTTCAGTATTTTGTTATTGTGTGTAATGCACATAGAAATTTTTTGAGGATACACTGAAAGCCCCCACTTAAAAATTAAAATATTTTTTATCATACAGTAGTGATACTACACATATTTTCCTAGTTGTTCTAAATCCACCTTTTCAAATTAAAAAGAAAAAATATCTTGATTGAATGAAAGGTGATCAAAGTTTACACAGAGCCTGCTGTAGAATGAAGAAATATCTCTAAATAATGAACATAAAATTCAGTTACTTTAGCACTTTTGAATCAGGAGACCATTTTCAAAATTGGCAAATGGGTTTCATTAATTTCATTTATCGCAATAATGATGGCTGCTATACTAATATGTGAAATATTGATGTAGGGAAGTCAATCACAATCTGTAGGTCAGAAGTACTCCTCCAGAAAACGAAGAGTTGTTGGATCCCCACTGGGGTGGACTGAATTCTTCACAACTGCCCATTTATGGCAAATTTTTGTATTCACACCCCTTGGATTCGTTTGTTCCATCGTGCATTCTTGCATTTAAGGTACTGAGAAAAGATTCAAAAGTAAAGATTCTGTGATGCGCTACAGTGCTGAGAGAAGAGTTCGCGGGTACCTCAGAACAGTAAGTGACACTTAAATGTATAACGTTTTTTTTATTCAGATCTCGTAAAATTCAAAATGTCTGCTTAACGCAATACTTTTCTGATATGGAATTTTAGAGTTGATTCCTGTATATAGTGTTCGTTGGGGTTCGCTACTCTGTGGAGTCGCCAATTTCTAGTTCCAAAACAATGGTGTTATAGGCACAAGAAGAGGTTAATAAGGCAATATCCTGTAAAAGCCAGAAGGCCCAGCTGGATGCTGTGATGGAAAACTTCAAGGAACGCTTGAGGGAAAACAAATACCATGGAACCTACTTCTCTAGGAAAGATCACAAGCATGCAGACTCCATGTGTGATGAATTTGGTATGTTTGATTACATTTATAGCAACTCTTGAAACTTTCTTTAGGGTTAAAATGCCTTCATACACTTTAGCTGTCAGCTGTATCATTTAGAACCAGCCAGTGATTATCTCCAAGAAAGCATACACAATGATTACAATCGGCTTCTTTGATGATGGAGGAATGATCAATCCATCAACATGCTCTTTCAGAAATTGACCTAATCTTCACCAAAAAGGCATCTTGTAATTTTAATGCCAAATTAAAAGGACTTTGGTGATCAAAATGAGCTGAAAGCGAAGTATAGCATGAATAATATCTTAAGAAAATAACATGTAGAAGTCTATTATTCAATGAATTTAGTCTTGAATATAACGATGGGTTGGTCACTCATTCATTTTGAAGGCCTCAATATCACTCTGGGTGTTTAACGTAACTCAGACATACTACTCCGTAACGTTAAGATCATGAAGCATGTACGTTTATGGGGGGGTTAGGTTTTTCTTTAGATCATTTATTTGATATATTTGTCAACCACATGGTGTGAGTGGAATTTTATTCATATTGGATATAATAGAATAGAAGGGTTTGTTAAATGATTTCAGTTGATTTGTCAAATTGTTTTACTTCTACATAACTAAACAACATAACGTAACACCTGCCTCATTATTTATCATAATGTTGGTGTTACATTATCATGATGCTTTTGATTTTTTCAAATCATATGCACATTTTCAGAAGTTCAAATCTGACTTTACATTTAAGATTTGACCTTCAATGATCTTTTCACGGTCAAAACAGGTTAAAAGGTCAAAAAGTTTTTTTTTCAACTTGCTTCAAATTGATTATATTTTTAAAATCATCTATAAGTTATCAGAAGTTGAAATCTGACTTTACATTTAAGATTTGATCTTCAATGACCTTCTCAAGACCAAAGAAAGCTTTTTCAGCTTGCTTCAAATTGACCAATTTGTTTTTCAAAATCATCTACAACTTCTCAAAAGTTCAAATCTGACTATAGATTTGACCTACTTTGATATTCTCAAGGTCAAAAAAGGTTTGACCTTCAATGACCTTCTCAAGGTCAAAAAGGTCTTTTTTTAACTTGCTTCAAATTTTGTCATGTAAATACCTTAAACTTAAATTTGGACTGCAACAATTGCCAAGTCTCTTTAACTTAATTATCATTGTATATACTTTTCTTGCAGATAATGGAACTTAAATATACACCTGTCTTCAAGGTCACAAAATACTGATAATAATGTGTGAGGAACATACAATTTGATCAAAAATTATTTCAGTATTTATAATATCTAATCTATTCTATTGTAGGCTGGTTTAGGTGTGAGGGGGCATATGATGAAGACAGCTGTGATAGGATACACAGAATAAACCCATATGGTGATCGGGACAGTAGAGTCCTGTTCAGTACCTGGAATCTCGACCATGTGTAAGTAAATCAGAGAGTGGTTGTATTGTATCCTTCAAATGCAGGGATTCAGTTATCATCCACTCTGTTTGTTTTGCCAGATTGTTCCTAGCCTATCTGATTAAGATGATCACGGGGTGGAAAAAGGAAGGAAAAGAACTGACGATGTCTGAATCCCTTAGTTTTGAAGGATACTATTAAAGTGTGATGTTTGTACTCTGCCATGAGTACATGTCCGTAATTTATAAACCACTTCAGAAGTGGATAATGTCAGTTATACCATTTGATATGTCAATAATTCTTTTTTATTAGAGAAAGACAATTCACAACCAAGTTGAATCCATGCTGCTAATATTCTCATGGATTCCATGTGGATTGACGTGGAAGAAATGCCAAGAACTGATATTTTCTTTCTATTCCAGCATTGAAAAATCAAGAGAGATTCTACCTTCACTTGTGAATTCTGCTGGGAAAGTGCCTAAAGACAAACAAATTAACTGGCAGTACTTCTACAATCTCTTGTTCACTCGGGACAATCTTAAGCTCGTACATATCGTGTGCCATAAAAAGGAAGAACATTCCACGGAGAAATGTGATGAAAAACGATTCTATAGCAAAAAGTGATATTAGTTTATTTTAATTTTGCCTGCTAAAATGAATTAGTATGGAGTATTGAATTATCAAATGAGCATATCTTTGAGGTCCAATGACAGCAAACAGTAGATCTGAAGTTCACAGCTAATCTCCAACAGTACCATACTCTTAATGTACCATACGGTACGGCGAATTCAAGGTATGGATTGGGGCTGTAGTTTGCCTCACAGTTCAAGAAAATGCCTCTTGAGGTGGCCTCACCAATAAATTAGGAAAACTCAATTATCATATAGCTGTATATTTGGCTATACACTGGACTATATGTTTTGCTATACACTGGGCTGCTGAAATGGGCATGTACTAGCTAGCATGCACTCAGTTGCAATATTATTTTATTAAGTGACGTATATATTGTCTCAATTTATACTTAATATATACTTTCTAAACTAATCAGGTCTTTCTGTATTTATACTTTATCAGGCTCTGTCTGATAACTTGATAAGTGGTTATTTCACTTATATTAATTGTATTCACATGAATGCAGAGTACTCCAAAATGTACACATTTAAATTCATTTCTTCAATATGCAGATCTAAGATGCCGATCCATGTTTCCTTTGAAATTTTTCATTTTCTCCCAACTTTACTCAAAATGTTCAAAACTGAATAATATGCAAAATCAACTCTTTTTGATGACTAATAATTGTGTGAATCTGGAATTGTTTTTTACTCTGAAAAATATTTATTTCCCAGAATTACTTCAGAATCAATATCATCCATGAAAAACCAGATTACATTATTATGATATTGTTTCATCTGGATTGTGCATATTTTAGTATCAAATAAACTGACAAAATGTGAACATTTTTGGATTGTGTAAAAAACTATTTATAATATCATGTCATTTATAAGGAGAGAAGGTGCAATGCAAGTTTAGGTGTTAAGAATCATTTCAAGGTTGAAGCCTGGATATAACCTTTGCAAAAAGGGTTTGGTGGAGTTTTAATTTTTTACTTTGTTAAAATATGTTTATATATTGTTAAAATGTTTTACTCACGGGGTCCTAACTTTGACCGTTAATTTGAATTTTTGACCTACCAGGTGCTTGAAAATCAAGGATTGCGAGTTTCGTACTGCACCGTTTTTCTTCAAACTTATACCATTAAAAGCAGAACAAAATTGCCTTTCTGTCAGTGCATTACTTTATTGTAAAGAGTCCCTCGTTCTAGCAGCGTTTTGGTCCCCAGCTGTTAGAAGGCCTTCTTACTGCTGGGGTCCAAAATGCCGCTGGAAGTAGGGACTCTGTTGAAGAGAATAATGTACCATCAGAAAGGGATTTGTGTTATGCTTTTAATGGAACAAGTTTGAAGAAAAACGGTGCAGTATGAGACTCGTAATCCTTGATTTTCAAACATCCGGTAGGTCAAAAATTCAAATTAACGGTCGAAGTTAGGACCGCGTGTCACTGTGTGTGAAATATATTAAAGCAATGAATATATGAATTTCAGCTTATTGAATGCACTTGTTTCTTGCATCTTGTCCTTAAATTCAGAAAAGTTTTATACACCACCTTCAAAATTATATTTATTGCACTCGTTTCTTCTCATGTTTTTCGTATCTTGTATGCTGGCTCCATACAAGAACATCACTAAATAGATCACCCACAAACCATGATGTAACATTCCAAACAGTTGAATGTCATGTCAATTGACTTTAATTTGTAACTTTCCCAATTGACATTTGAACTGATAAAATGTTGTTTTAAAATAATGAGTTAGATTTAGTCATGTTAAGATATTTTCATGAATAGTTATTGTTGCACACTAAAAAATCTATGTCATTTTCGATATAGTGAACATATACAATATGTGCTAAATATTTGTATGATTTAAGTGTTCAACTATTAAAATAATATAAAATAATATACATTTGTAATATTCAATGATTTTTGATGTGAAGTGCCCATTTTCATATTGATTGTATATGATAGTATTTTGTTAAAACCATTTACAAAGGAAATAGATTTGTAAGCCAGAATATACGAATATACAAATATACTGTTTGTCAAATAGAGATAAAGAATGATTAAATCATTCTTCAAGTTAAATATTAATTCTGTAAATTAGTGAGTAATGAATGTTTGTATATGGTACGTCATATTTGATTAGGAATTAGTGACCAAATATATATGTATTATACTCATTTACAGATAAACCAGTAAACTAATTGTAGATTATATCAATAAACATAGTTTTATTAATAAACGAAGTGATCAACAAAAATATTTTTAAATCCTGTTATGAAAATCAGCTAGAAATGCTGCCACCCCTTAAACAGCAAATTTGAGCATTCTTATCTTATCTCAACTACCTTTGGACCCTTTACCACTTCAGTTCACGAAACAACAGTTTCAAATAAGCCTTCACTAACAAAGTTAAGTTTAGTAAATTATAAAGCCGCCATATTGGATTTACAGTTACAAAATGGCACCCCCACCAGAGAGGGTGATGTTCCTCATAGGATTTGGATTATCTTGCGCTGCAGTCGTGTGTAACATTATCGGCTTCTCTAGCCCATTCTGGTTCCAGTCTTACCCCTCTGCCCATAGCACATTCAGGAGTATAGGGCTGTGGCAAGCATGTTTTCAGAACTTCCAGCATCCAGCCGATTACATTGGGAAGCTTTATACAGGATGTTGGTGGATCTTCCACACTGAATACTGGAATATGCGCGACTGGCTCCTGCCACGTAAGTTCATAAAATTCATTCTGGAATGTCTCATTATTGACAGGTTTTGACCTTGATGGCCATTTTGAAATGTTAACTGTGTATCAGATATTGGGCCATTTGGGAAGCTCAAACATTTAAACCCAGGATTCATCCTATGTATGCAAAAATTAGAGAGTATATCAATGCCATGTATTAAGTGAGAGCATAAATCCTAATAGGACATTTCCTGGAATATTCTTAAAAATAGGGTCATCCTGTTGATGAATAATGTTGTATTGTGCATGTGTTTCAAGTTTAAGAGAAAATTGTTGCATTCTAATTTGGCCAGAGGGTTGTGTCTTTTTCAGTTGTATATGTGTGTTGTTTGCTTGGTTGAACATGAGTCGCTAATTTTATACATGTGTTATATTTTACATGTGTCTCATGTATTTTATTGTACAAGTGTCTTGTGTGCTGTATTTTACATGTGTCTCATACGTTATATTGTACATGTGTCTTGTGTGCTTTATTTTACATGTGTCTCATATGTTATATTGTACATGTGTCTTGTGTGCTTTATTTTACATGTGTCTCATATGTTATATTGTACATGTGTCTTGTGTGCTGTATTTTACATGTGTCTCATATGTTATATTGTACATGTGTCTCATATATATATTGTACATGTGCATGTGTTTCATATGTTGTATCGTACATGGGTCTTGTGTGTTTTATTGTATATGTTTCTAATATGTTATATCGTACATGTGTCTCTTGTGTTGTATTGTACATGTGTCTATTTTATTGTACATATGTCTCATGTGTTGTATTGCACATGTGTTTTATTGTACATGTGTCTCATTTATTGTTTTGTATTGTACATGTGTCTCTGAGTTGTATCATACATATGTTGTATTGTATATTTTGCACCATGTGTTGCATGCTTAGCCTAAGTGTCTTGTGTGTGCATGTTCTATTGCACATGTGTCTAATGTGGTGTATTGTACATTTGTCTTGTGTGTTGTATTGTACATGTGTCTCATGTCTTGTATAGTACAAAACTTGTGTTTTGTATTGTATGTGTGTCCCTTGTTTTGTGTTGAACAGATGTTTGGTGTGTTGAGTTGTACTTGTGTCTTTTATTGTAAAGATGTCTCAATTGTTGTTTTGTATGTTTTATTGTACAGATATTTTGTTTATTGTAATGAATATGTGATAAGTATGTTGTTTTGTACATATGTGTCCCATGTGATGTATTGTACAAATGTTTGGTGTGTTGTGCCTCATGTGTTGTATTGTACATGTGTCTCATGTGTTGAATTGTACAAAACGTGTGTTTTGTATTGTATGTATGTTTTGTATTTTATTTTACAAATGTTTGGTGTGTTGTGTGTGCTGTATTGTACACGAGTCTTATATGTAGTATTGTACATGCATCTCATATATTGTATTGTATGCATGTGTCTCATGTGTTGTATTGTAAATGTGGCTTGTGAGGCTGTACTGTACATGAGTCTTATGCTGTATTGTACATGTGTATCTCATGTTGTATTGTACATGTGTCTTGTGTGTTGTATTGTACATGTGTCTTGTGTGCTGTACTGTACATGAGTCTTATGTTGCATTGTACATGTGCCTGATATGTTGTATTGTACATTTTATCCCATGTGTTATATTGTACATGTTCCTCATATGTTGTATTGTATGCATGTGTCTCATGTGTTGTATTGTAAATGTGGCTTGTGAGGCTGTACTGTACATGAGTCTTATGCTGTATTGTACATGTGTATCTCATGTTGTATTGTACATGTGTCTTGTGTGTTGTATTGTACATGTGTCTTGTGTGCTGTACTGTACATGAGTCTTATGTTGTATTGTACATGTGCCTGATATGTTGTATTGTACATTTTATCTCATGTGTTATATTTTACATGTTCCTCATATGTTGTATTGTATGTATGTGTCTCATGTGTTATATTGTACATGTGTCTTGTGTGCTGTACTGTCCATGAGTCTTATGTTGTATTGTACATGTGTATCTCATGTTGTATTGTACATGTGTCTTGTGTGTTTTATTGTACATGTGTCTTGTGTGCTGTGCTGTACATGAGTCTTATGTTGTATTGTACATGTGTATCTCATGTTGTATTGAATGCATGTGTCTCATGTGTTGTATTGTACATGTGTCTTGTGTGCTGTACTGTACATGAGTCTTATGTTGTATTGTACATGTGCCTGATATGTTGTATTGTACATTGTGTCTTGTGTGTGGTATTGTACATGTGTCCCATATGATGTATTGTACATGTGTCCCAGCTGTTTTATTGTACATGTGTATCTTATGTTGTACTGTACACGTGTCTCATGTGTCATATTATACATGTGTCTCATGTGCTGTATTGGACATGTGTCTCATGTGTACGTATTGTACATTTGTCTTATATGATGTATTGTACATCTGTCTCAGCTGTTGTTTTGTACATGTGTATCTTATGTTGTACTGTACATGTGGCTCATGTGTCATATTATACATGTGTCTCATGTGCTGTATTGGATATGTGTCTCATGTGTTGTATTGTACATGTGTTTTATTGCACATGTGCCGCATGCCTTGTGTGTTAAATTGTATATGTGTCTCTTGTGTTACATTGTACATGTGCCTCATATGTTGTTTTATTCATGTGTCTTGTGTGTTGTATTGTATTGTGTTGTATTGTATAGAGGTCTTATGTTCTTTAATTGTGTCCCGTACGTTCTATTGTACAGAAGTCTCATATATATGTGTTGTCTTCTTTTGCTGTACAGATATCTTGTATATTGTATTGTACATGTGTCTCATATGTTGTATTGTACACATGTCTCATTTGTTGTATTTTACATGTATCTCATGTGCTGTATTGTACATTTGTCTTGTATGTGAATTGCACATGTGCCTCATGTGTTATATTGTACATGTGTTTTATTGTACATGTGTTGCATGTGTTGTATGTGTCTAGTGTGTTAATTGTATGTGTGTCTCTTGTGTTACATAGTACATGTGCATCACATGTTGTCTTGTTCATGTGTCTTGTGTGCTGTGTGTTGTATTGTAATTGTGTCTCTTGTTCTGTTCAGAAGTCTCATGTGTCGTCTTGTTTTACTGTTCAGATATCTTGTTCATTGTATCATACATGTGTCTTGTGTGTTTTATTGTATATGTGTCTTTTGTGTTACATAGTACATGTGTTTTATTGTTCATGTGTTACATGTAACATATTGTACATATGTCCCATGTGTTAAATTACATAAGTGTCTCTTGTGTTATATAGTACATGTGTCTCATATGTTTTATTGTATATCTGTTTTATAATATGTGTCTCATATGTTGTATTGTACATGTCCCTCGTGTGTTGTATTGTAATTGTGTCATACATATTGTATTGTACATGTTTTTTATAATATATGTCTCATATGTTGTATTGTACATGTGCCTCGTGTGTTGTATTGTACATGTCTCTCACATGTTGTATTGTACATGTGTTTTATAAAATGCTTCTCAAATGTTGTATTGTACATGTGCCTCGTGTGTTGCATTGTACATGTGTCTCACATGTTGTATTGTACATGTGTTTTATAATATGCGTCTCAAATGTTGTATTGTACATGTCCCTCGTGTGTTGCATTGTACACGTGTCTTACATGTTGTATTGTACATGTGTTTTATAATATATGTCTCAAATGTTGTATTGCACATTTGCCTCGTATGTTGTATTACTTGTGTCTCATGTGTTATATTGTACATGTGTTGCATGTATTGTGTTGTACATGTGTCTTGTGTATTGTATTGTATGTGTGTCTTTTGTGTTAGATTGAACATGTGTCTCATCATGTGTTGTATTGTACATATATATCTCGTCTTTAATTATACATGTTTGTTGTATTGTAAAAAGGTCTTGTGTTTGTACTGTCATTGTGTATGGTGTGTTATATTGTACAAAAGCCTCGGGTGTCGTACAGATATCTCGTACGTTGTATTGTACATGTGTCTCATGTGCCATATTGTACATGTGTCTCATTTGTTAGATTGTAGATGTGATTCATGTGTTATATTGTATATAAGCCTTGTATGTTTTATTGCACATGTATGTTGTGTAATGTTTTGTGCAGGTGTTAATGTTTTGTACAAGTGCATTTCATTGTACATGTTCTTCATTTGTTGTCTGTTAGTGTCTTGAGTCGTTTATGTGTGTCTTGTGATGTATTGTATTGCACCTCATTATATCGTTCAATTGCATTATGTGTTGGGTGGATTGTGTCTCATAAGTGTATTGTGCGTTTGGTTGTGCATTTGTCTCGTATAAATTAACCCGTGACAAACCACATGAACCAGTCTAACAACTGATGCGCCGGCTTGTCGGCATATCTCATCTTTAGTTTGTTCTTTTTGTTTTATCATATTCCCCTCTGTTAACATATATGTCTTGTGCATATGTATCCTTGTGCATATGTATCCTTTCGTTTTGGATTGTCACCGTTTCTCGTGTATCTTGGATTGATTTTTGAGCGTGTTTGAATGTGCATGTGTTCGTGCTTTGATTTCCCGGGGTTGGATATTACGCTGGTCTGATTTTCATCATTTGTCGTTTTGCCTTGCACATGTGTAAGATTCATACTTGTGAAGTTTGCGACGGGCGCTTGATAGTTTGTGTCTAGTACCCCATTATTATGATGGCATTTGGGCATATGTTAGAAGTTCAAACGCTTTGAACGTCAAGTCTCAATAAATATAAAAGTTAAGAGGTAAATAGCGCTAGTAAAGCTAGCGTCATGGACTTACATCTCTTTAATAGACTTTTTCCTTATACCTTTACAACCAGTAAGTTTATATTTCAAAGGGGAGACCTAATCCTCAGGGGGACGTAATTCTAAACCTGCGACGTATATATGTACAAGTTCTCTCAGAAACGCATCATGGAGGAGTTTTAACCTCTCTACTTCTGGTGACAAAAAGCACATCAAACGCATTTACTTTAGGCTAATCAATCAGTTTGACGTGTCGAAAAAAGAATATTGTAACAGTTTGGCCTATTTTTGTGGATATACGTGGTAGCGTGGCTAATAATAGGCCCACTGTTTAGTAAACGGTGTTTACTTGGTGAGTTACACGGCACACGTTAAATGTGCGATTGTCCCTAAAGAATTAAACAGACATATACAATTAAATATAAAATATAAAACAGTATATTGTGGCGTTTATAAGCCCAAATAAAGATGTACATTAAATTTCAAGTCTAATTGTAAGAGTGTTACGATTTTAATATCTCTCTCAAAACTCACAACTCAAAAGTCCATATAAGCTAATATTTATCACTAATAACACAATATCCAGAGTCCATATAAGCTAATAATAATCACTAATAACACAATATCCAGAGTCCATATAAATTGAAGCTGATGATCAATATATCACTGTTGTATCTCCAATATTAAAAGTTCATATATGTTGTAATACTTGTACGTCTTGTATTGTACTTGTAACTTGAACCTGAAATAGTAATCTCCTGGATCCTCTTCTATGTAGTGTAATATGATTCAAGTTTGATGATGTGAAATCATCTAAGTCAACTATCAGCTCGGTAAATGGCTATCTCCTGGATCCTCTTCTCTGGGTTGTAGTGTAATTCAACTTTGAGGATGTAAAATCATCTAAGTCAAACTATTGCTCCGTAAACGTAAATTTTCTGGATCCTCTTCTATGTAGTGTAGTATAATTCAGCTTTGATAATGTGAAATCATCAAGTCGACTATCGGCTCAGTAAATGGCAATCTCCTGGATCCTCTTGTGCTGTAGTATAATTCAACTTTGATTATGTGAAATAATCTAAGTCAAACTATTGGCTCTGTAAATGGATATCTCCTGGATCCTCCTCTCTGTGTTGTAGTATAGTTCAACTTTGATTATGTGAAATAATCTAAGTCAAACTATCAAGTCTGGAAACGACTATCTCCTGGATCTTCCTCAATATGTTGAAGTATAATTCAACTTTGATTATGTGAAATAATCTAAGTCAAACTATTGGCTCTGTAATCCTGGATCCTCCTCTCAGTTGTAGTATAATTCAACTTTGATTATGTGAAATAATCTAAGTCAAACTATCAAGTCTGGAAACGACTATCTCCTGGATCCTCCTCAATGTGTTGTAGTATAGTTCAACTTTGATTATGTGAAATAATCCAAGTTAAACTATCAGCTCTGTGAACGGTTATCACCAGGATCCTCCTCAATGTAGATGTATATTCTAACTTCAATGACACAAGATCATCAAAGTCAAAATATCTCGCTGGATAATCTGCTAAGTCCTGGAACGTCCTCTCTGTAGATGTATATTCTAACTTCAATAATCCAAGTTAAACTATCAGCTCTGTGAACGGTTATCACCAGGATCCTCCTCAATGTAGATGTATATTCTAACTTCAATGACACAAGATCATCAAAGTCAAAATATCTCGCTGGATAATCTGCTAAGTCCTGGAACGTCCTCTCTGTAGATGTATATTCTAACTTCAATGACCAAAAATCATCAAAGTCAAAATATCTCGTTGAATAATCTGCTAAGTCCTGGAACGTCCTCTCTGTAGATGTATATTCTAACTTCAATGACCAAAAATCATCAAAGTCAAAATATCTCGTTGAATAAACTGCTAAGTTCCAGAACCTCTTCTCTGTAGATGTATAAGTCAAACTATCACAATCTTCAAACTACCAAGTCCAAGGACATCTAAAACACGGCATCAACTGTTAAGTCTATGTAGCTTGCTTTCTTCACAATTAAATAATAAGGATACCTACAAATATAGCATGCACACAACGACATATGCAAAAATATAACATGTGAAAATATTTGACCTCTAAAATGACTAAGTTCATTTAATGTTAAGTGATACTGATATTAAAATATTCTAAGTTCAATATTTCTCTTTCCAAAAACAACAAAGTCCAAAATAATGTTTCATCAAATATTGACTAAGTTAATTTCATGCTAAGTTATACTGATGTTAAAATATTCTAAGTTAAATATTTCTATCTCCAAAAACAACAAAGTCCAAAATAATGTTTCACCAAATACTGACTAAGTCCAATAATGTTGTAAATCGTCTAAGTTCCTTGATGCTCAAAACAGCTTAAGTTTTTCAAACACAAGTTATGTCAGCATTTCCTCTCAGTCTATGAAGGCTGGACAATACGTCTAATGATTTGCGCTGGGGATAGCTTCACCCTGTCGAAGTTTTGTCCAGTCTTGTAGATCTCCCTTACTTCCAGTGCGGTAAATAAACTAAGTTCCTCTCACTTAGCTACATCAAAGTTTCCCAAAAATCCAAGTTCCAAAATAAACCTAAGTTTCGCACACTTAGTTTCCTCAATCTGCCCTTGTATACTGCAAACGTATAGCTTGGCTCATCAGATGTATTCTACTAAGGTACAGCTTCTATCTTCATGTGTATACTGCAAACGTATAGCTTCAACTCCACAAAATCGACTAAGTTCTATAAAACTTAGAAGATTTTAGCTGTTTCCCGAAATTCCGCTCTAGAGGTCCTTCCTCGACAACATCTGGCATCGCACTGACGAGCCTTCAACAACGAGATACTTATATAGGCCCGATGACGTCATCGATTTTCGTACAAGATTTCAACTGTGAATTACAGCTTATTTACGCCATATTTCGCTTCAATATTGATCATACAGCAAGATTATAATATTGACTCAAGAAATATAACAGTAATTAATCACTATTTAGTCTAATTTTACTTCGATTCCATCGAATCAAAACCAGGAAGTAAAATAATACAGGTGTCATGTTAGACTACCGATCAACTTCAAATTAGACTGCCAGATAAGACTGCCCGATCAACATAAACAAAATCGTGATCAAATAAATAAAACATGTGAACTATTTCACCTCTGTAAGTACAACCTAAGTGCTGCAAATGATACTACATTTATAAATCTTAATAATCTCAATGGGAAATTACTTTCCAAGTGTAATAATTACCTAATGTACAAAAATACAGCACTTTATCAAAAATCAAAAATTTTACATTTTAAAATTTCGTTACAATATAATAGATCATGTTTCTGGAGTTGTCGTGAATTGCTAAAAACGAATCATTGCATTGTGCCACATTTCTTTGATTGTACGCAGGATTAGGCTAGGTGTGAAAGTTGGGTTGTTGGATTGTGCTTCTAGGTCTAACAAAAACTATATTATATATGTTGAATTGAACCTGTGTGAATAGGTTATCAGAGTTTGTTTCTGGAAATGATAAGTGCTCTTAAACTTTGAATAAAATGGGGGATAAAGGTCCATGCGCGATTTAATGATATCATTCACCGATGGAGATCGAGACCATCGATTTAAAATAGATTAGATGCAAGTAGAAATAATCTTGATTTACCCCATTAAAAATTCAGCCAAACTGATGCCTTATTTGAAATCTACATGTAAAGTTTTGAAAAGAGTTTATCAACTTTGAAAATTTAATTTTCTTTGAAAATGTGATTTCTAGGTCGGGGAGATTCCCATAGACTCCATGTTGTAAAATCACAAAAAGTGAAAACCTTTACTTTTGTTGGGCGGATAATATTTTCTTTTACTAACTGGATGATATTTTTTATCTGTACAACTATCATATACATAAGGGTTATATGAAAAGTGAATCGTTAAAACTGATACCCTGCCATGTTATTGAGTTGGATTGTCCTCACCTGGAAATGTTTCATTTTTGCATTGTGCTTTGATCATTGAACCTTGAAAAGTGTTTTATACAAAGTATACCAATAAGTTTAAGCATTTCTGAACTCAAATGCTTTTCTCTTGGAGGCTAGATAAGCAAAATGTACTGCTTGGTTGTCAATGGGCTCTATAATTGATATAAGTGTACACGTACATTGTGATATTGTGAGTCCAAGGTATATTGTAGGTTGTCCTGAAACATCAGTTTTCAACAGCTAATTTGGAATTGAATTATTCTTTTGACTATTAATTGAGTCGTATTTGTCATTTGTGGCTCAATTGATGATAAACATCATCGCTTTGGTTGTTCCCTATCGAATGCCAATGGGTTTCGTATTACATCGAATCCCCGGGGATTTTTACCTGTACAGGTGAGTTTACCTGGAATTGGATGTGGCGTGTCATGACCTAAATTTCAAAAAAGTAAATTCAAGATGGTGTCTAAAAAGTTGGAAAAGATTTACACAATTTGGGGCAAAATAGGCCTATTCTGTGGCCTATTTGGTGTAGTTCTTACCATTGTTGCATTTGTCAGTGGACATTGGTTTGAGGCAGAAAAGGATTCAGACTCTCATTTCAAGCGATTAGGCCTTTGGGAGGCTTGTTTTGATGGATACCATCACCCAGCAAATTATGTGGGAAAAGTTCATCGAGGATGCTGGTGGATTCTTCACGTTGAATACTGGTACATCAGAAGTTGGCTCTTACCTTGTAAGTTCAATTATATTTTCAAATAGATTTTCAATAACTGTGTCAGAATTATTTGTTTTCTGTCTTTCAGATAACTGATAAAAGTTTGTTGGACATTGTTTTTGTGAATTTTTGTGGTTTCAGTTGAGATTTGGCACTCAGGATTAGAGAATAACTAATATTGTATGTTTCCGTTCCATCATTTTCTATGTTATCATATCATACAGGTCCGCCAGAAGACTTTTCAAAGGGATTTGTGTTGTGGCGACTTTGGTTGGTTGGTTGGTTATATCCTTTTGCATTGATGGGCTGTATCAGTGACACTCCAGCTTTAGGGCAATGTTTATATATGCAAAGTGTCATCAGTACTGGGAGCTAGGGGGTCTGGGTCTGGATCATGCCCCCAGAAAATTTTTGGAATTCAGACCATTTCCGATGCCCCGTCTGGTCCATTCTGAACATATCTGTTATTCTCATCCTCTCATCATCATCATCATCATCAGTATTAAGACTAGTTGGTTACTCCAGTTATTAGTCTCATCTGTTCAAACATAGTTTAGATCTGAGCTTTAGTACAACTTTAAGGACAAAAAAGGGGGGAAACCTATAGCCAGTAGTGTTGATACACCCAGTGTCTGTCCAGAGCTGTCTTGAAGACATCCAGATTTTCTGCCTGTGCCACTTCTGTAGGGAGACTGTTCCAATCATTAATGATGCGTTGACTGAATGTGTTTTTCCTTACATCTAGTCTGGACCTAGGATATCAGATTGTGTTATTCTCTTGATAATCTTTTTTTCAAGTAGATTTTGACCAATGATTATGTCACCTTATTCAAAAGGTTTTTATTCATGTCATATTATTCAAGTGGAATTGTATGTATCACAACACTGTGAGAGTTATGTTCATGTCACATTATTATTCCAAAGCTGATGTTCATGTCATTTTATTCATTCGAATATGACTGTATTCATGCCTTCTATAAACTGTGAACAAAGTCAACATTTCACCCAGGGTATATTCGCCAACAATACCCCTGATAATACGAGTAATATGTGACGTCATAAATGCGGGCCATAGTAATGACGGACCATAATGAATATTCGAAACATTTTGGTGAATTTTCGTGTTCGAATCTTAATATAGACCTCAGAGTACTATGTAGGTGTAATATCGGCGAATATACCCCTTAGGGCTAGGCATTAAAGCTTTCGCATCCCTCACTCCCTTCGGCCATTCAGGTTACAGAAAACGTTTGTGCCTAGCCATGCGGAGTGTATTAAATGATATTACCCCTGCTCTTTGGTCTATATTTCTTTCGTTCTTGGTTTTGTTAGTTCATGTCACATTATTCAAAGAATGATGGTCATGTCATATTATTTCAAAAAGTGTTGATCGGGTCATAATATTCAAAGGTTATGGGTTATGTCACATTATTGAAAAGGTTTTGTCTGTCACATTATTTAATGGATGTTGTTGTGCTGTCATATTCAAAGGATATTGCATTGCTCATGTGTTTTCACATCCAAACCATATTGTTCATTGTCACATTATTCAAAGGATCTAGTTCACCATGTCATATTATTAAAAACAATGTTGATTTGGTCACATTAAAGAGGGAATCAGATCTACCGAGCAGCCTAACAAAAGATTGTTTCAATTTTCGAAAATATCTGGCTTATGTCATTCTTTGTCACATCTTTTATATTTCAGGAAAACTTTAAAATTTTTACTATAATGTATTATTTTTCTTTAAGAATTGTCGCCATTCTTATTATTTGGGAGAATTTAAACATTTTTCACCCATTTTTGCACATTGCAATCCATAACTTCACCAATTTATAACATATCATGAATATTTTGGGAGATATTGTATTTGCAATTGTAAGGAATAGATTGGTAGATCAATTGTACATGTTGCTTGTAATTTTGTCACCCCTCTGATTCTGTCTCTAATAATCAAAGCCTCTGGTTTATGTCACATTATTTAAAATATATTGTTTCTGTCTAGTATTCAACAGATATTTTTCATGTCACATTATTCTATTGATATTGTTCATGTGTTGTCACATTATTCAAACAATATTGTTCATTGTCACATTGTTCAAATGCTATGATTCATGTCACATTACTCAAAGTATATTTTCCATGTCACATTACTAGTGATAGTGTTGTTACATTATTCTAACATATTGTTCATTGTCTCATTAGTCAGAGGATATTTTTCTCAAGATTTTTTATTCGGTCACATTATCAAAAGGATATGGCTCATGTCACATTATTGAAAGAATATTGTTTGTGTCATATTATTGGAAATTAGTGATGGCCATGCATGTCACATTATTTAAAGGACATTGTTTCTGTCATGTTATTTAAAGAATATTGTTTGTGTCATATTGTAGGAAAATGTTGATTTGGTCATATTATTCAAATGGCTGTGATGGTGATGCATGTCACATTATTTAAAGGATGTGGTTTCTGTCATGTTATTTAAAGGATATTGTTCATGTCACATTATTCAAACAATGTTGTTCATATGTCACATTATTCAAATGATATTGGTCGTATCATATTTTTTCCAAGAATGCTGTTCCATTTCACAATGGGTAATAGTTCAAATACATGGTTTTATTATTAATAGACATAATTCAACCAATAAAGGTCTCAAAATAAATAACAACTTTTGAATTGGTCATCTTACTGTGTTACGGTTGAGATTTCTGCCGCAGTGATATGTTGGAGACTAGCAGTGTCATCGGATATTGGGAAAAGAGTAGATAAGTGCATCAAAACCAAAATATCAAGAATGAACAAAAATATTGTCCTGTTGAATGACTCACAGCTTAAGGTGTAAAAAGGTTGCCAAATAGAATTCAAATTGTTAGAAACTTATTCTAATATGAACATTTGTATATTTGAAATGAGGCAAGTACTTGGTGTCATTTGAATTTGTTTAGTAACATGACTCTAGATTGTGGATTTTGAATGTGGAAGTGTCATAAAATGAAACCTGGGCCTTAAAAAATTATGTGGTTGCTCACATCATCAGTTAGGAATTTGAACTACTTTGTTGAGGGGTAGTGAGATCATAACCTGGCATGACCTGATCATTTGAAAAACAATAATTTATGTTTATCCAGTTATTTTAACTAAATTCATTATGGTAATGTAAATCGAAATAAAATAAGTCACATACATAAATCAACCAGAAACTAAGATTATTTTGTTTTTAACTTGATATTGATAATTGTCTCCCAATATTGTTTCATCATGATTTCTCCTTAAGTTTATAACTAAATAAAATTCAAAATAAACAAGAGATAGGAGAACTCAACCGTTAATCAATCATGAAAAACTAAAAGTTTTAGGAAACAAGTTATTGATTAATGAATTGTTATCATTTTGTAAACATGACTCAAATGTGATTCACTTATTACTAAAGAAATGCTATCACCCCTTCAGGTGAAAATATGAACCATTCCATAATGCTCTTCTTTTGAGCGCATTTACTCCTTACCTAAATAGTTATATCATTTTCTATCACATAAGCAACTTGTCATTTGTTTATTATATTTCTACCAGTTTTTAATTAGTCAATTCAATACCTTTATTTAGCACAAGTATCTAGTATTTGTATTAAGAAATTGATTCTAGAAATCAAAAATAGATTATTTCGGGGCGGCTGGTTTGCAATTGGAACAGCATACCTGTTCAATTTTAATTCAAAACATCTAGGCAAGATGGCCACCAGCGCCGTCTTTCTAGCAGGAATCGTTTGCAGCTTTTGTTCATTACTGTGTTGTATAATAGCGTTTTGCTCACCGTATTGGTTTCAATCATGGCCAAGAGTACACAGTGAATTCAAAAGAATTGGACTTTGGGAGGCTTGTTTTGCCGGATTTATTCACCCAAGAGATGAATTAGGAAAAGCCTATCATGGCTGTTGGTGGACCTTCTCAAAAGAATACTGGAATATCAGGGATTGGTTACTTCCCCGTGAGTAAAGGAGGAAATAAGGATCAGTTGTACTCGTGGTTTATGATTGTTTGAGATGAGGATCTTTAGTTTTGAGGAGATTGTTGTTGAATTTTCACCTGGAGGGAAAAACAAAATGGCTGCCATTTGACCTACTTTCAATGAAAACTCACCTGTTGATTAGAAACATTCAATTTGTTTATTTCATTTTGATATTAAAAATAATAGAGGATTCAAAATGTTATAATATATCAAGTTAAGAATGTAAATCATCTTCATATTACTTTCAAAAACTTATGTAAATGAATTTGATGTGTTCACTGGAATAACTTTTTTTGAACCAGGAAATGATGTTGAAACCAGCAATTTTTCATTCCAAATTTCAAAAAATGTCAGACTAGAGGATATAGTCAAAATTAAATGTACTTCAAATTTTTGAAATATTTCATACTTCTTCAAATACAGAAAACACATCATATTCACTATTTTCTACTTTTGTTTCTAACTCAAACTTATAATTTTCTTCCCGTTTGTGTCTTTCAGCCTGGTTTATCTCCGTACAAGTGATGGTGACAGGAACTTTGATCTGCCAACTGGTCGGAGCAATATTATTAGTAGCGTATTTCCTCAGATGTTGCCGACCACAGACGGAAGCTTTTGCTCTGTTTGTTTCCGCTGGGCTCCAGTTTGTATGTGGTGAGTGAGGAATAAGTATACATCAATTTTACAGTTCAGAAATGCAGCAGCTTGTGGGGGTTTGCGTCATCTTCACATGAAAGTTATGATCATTGAGTTTCCAAAAAATATTATCAGCTCAAAACAATTTTCTATTTATTGGAATCAACACCTGTCGAGATCAGTAGATCTATCTGTGATATTTTCAAATCGTTTGAAGATTGACACAAACCCTCCCCCCATGGCTTCATACCCAAAAAGTATACTCTCAATAGTATAAGATAGAGGTAAGGCTGGCTTTGTTACCTACAGGGGCTATATCTTAAAAACTGAATGTATGACTCAGAATAAGAGTTTTTTCAGAAATAATGCATGGCTTTTTGAGATATGGCCTCTTACAGTAGCATTGGAACTTTTGAAAAAGCAATCAAAGCAACTATGGAATGATTACTTTCAGTTAATACCATCGCCTTTGGCAATATGTATGTGAGAGGTTTGTTGTTGGCTGAGAACTAGCAATAGTTGTGAAAGTCAATGGCAAATTTCTAATACTGAAATTGCGATTTGCTTTTTCAAATTGTTCATTTTCTTATTTGATAAACATTGCCAAATATCCCATCCTTCCATCAATCCCACACCTATTAGGTAAGTTAGTTTTGTTTTGCATCGAAATATTATACCTGGATATCATAAGTCATCCAAATGTTTGTCAGGTAAAGGCATGATTGTGTGAGTGAGATATAGTGAGCTTATATTCCAACAACTTGTTTTTGGAACTTTTAAATTAAGTTGAAAATTAACATTTATTCAACAGTTCAAGCATCGTCTAAGTTGATGTTGAAATATAAGTGAATTTTTGAAAGTGTCTTGGATGAATGAAATGACCAAATGTTTGTTGAAAAATGGTCAATTACTTCATTCATAGGAGTGAATGTATGCGAGGTGAATGAGGACCAATTATTACTCCCGTCTTTTTGGAAAAAATATTTTATTTCAACTCTGTTGCTCTTTATTTCCCTGCTTTATTTTCCTTTGCTGTTTTCTCTCCTTCTGTCACCCTTTAGTTAAGTTCCTTCATATTTAAGCATTCTATTTCTCATCATTTAGTTAAGTTCCTTGCTTTATTTAACCCTTCCTTGATAAGTGCTTTAGTTATAAGATAATATTGTCAACAATATTCCTTGGAATCAACAATAACATTCAATTTAATTTTCATTGAAACAATTTCATTTTTGACATAAGTTGTTTTACTGTTACTTTTTAAAACATTTAAACGTAGCGCATCATTTCTTATATTTCACATTCAGTTACAGTCTCTAGAGATCTATCACTTATGTTTTGTTTCCCGTGTGTTTATTTTGCATGGGTTTGACTCCCAGTCTCTACTTCTATTCTTTACTAACAGTCTGTTTACTATACTTGTCATAAAAACAGAAGTGCATTGTGGGTTTTGCGGATGTTTTTGGCGCGACGGTTTAGACAGGTATTAGGTGAGTTGATGACCAAAGTAGGCTAGACACTTCTGTTGATAACTGAAAAATGGAAATGCTAAACTGGGAGATCCTATTCCAACCAATTTACTCAATGCATAACAATTTTGATGTTTACTTTCATGATATTAAATTATTCAAAAGAGCCTATTGAGGATTTTTTGCATTAAAGTTAGGCTCTTTTCTTTAATTTAGTATCTTTATTCAGTGTAAACTTTTGACCTGTTTTTAATGAAATATAAACACTCCGAGTGAAATGACTCGAGAATCATCCAGTTATCTTAAGAAAGTAGAAGCCTCATTGGTCAATGAAATCAGTTAATTCATTAATTCACAAATTGTAATTAAGAAACTCATGCTAAATGCTATATGTTAAGATCATGAGATTTGTTAATATAGAATGTATTGTGATACTTTAAAAGATAAAAATTTAGATAACTAGTACTGTTAATTAAACGTAATACATAATTCATGATTCAAGGAGCATTTGTACAGATCTTAAGTGAAATTGACTTACGTTCGAAGGATACAATGTTTGAGTTTGTCATCATTCTTCTTTGTGAGTGGTCTAAATGGTCCAAAAGTGTTGGAAAATTAATTACAAGAATAGCCAAATGTGTAAACAGTTAAATCAAAAATACCTTGCTGGCAGGATTCATTAGATCTGACTTAACAGAGGCCTGAGATCTGTATAATATTCCTTGAATTCATTCTTGTCCATCAGCCTAAATGTGTTCATTGTTTTCAGCTTTTCTGATGGGAGTATCTGTGCTGGTGTTTGGTGTTATGGCAAAGGAGGACAGAACATGGATGCCCCGACCTGAACTGAACTATATGTCCTGGAGCTATGGACTTGCTGTGTTATCAGCCTTCTTTGCATTCTTCTCGGGGCTGGCATTGGCAGTACAAGGAATGATAGTGAAAGAGAGAGCTCTTGAGAAGGAGGGTCATGAAATGGCACCTCTGCCACCCAAGATCTAATATTTCCGTCATCTATTGCTTATAAACAATTTAGCTTTTGTAACATTCCATTTTTCATATAACAAGACATTCCTAATGTTGAAGTGAACTGTGTCTACTTGCTTGTAATTTATATCAATTTGGTTATTTCAAACATTTGAAAAAGACAGGATTTGACATTGAAACATTCCTTTTAAACGCAGGCAAATTATGCGCCAATAGGAGATCCCATTTCTCAAGATGGACAAAAAAGATTACTATGAAATGGAAACAAGTTGTATAAAGCAAAACACGCTTGCAGGACTTGATTCAAAGATTAGCTGTCATTTGTAAATAACATATACAAGAGTATTTTTATGGCAAAGTTATACAGTAATTTTTAACTTCACACATTCTCTGATTAGTCCGGGAATATAAATTCTAGTAGAACGCTCACAATCATAGCTGATTGGTGGCTATGTATATATACTCTTCTTTTTTATATTACAATGATGTATATACTCTGGTGAAGATTAGTTTTATAACATTAAATTATAGCATTTTACAATTCAATTAGAAGAGTTGATTGAAGATATTTTCTCAGAAAGAAAATTAGTATCTGATAAAAGAAATTTAAAATAGATTTGTGACAATGTGTGATATCTCAATCTACTTAGGGAGTCCTGTCATTTCAGAGCACATTTTCATGTACTGCAAATATTGATAGAAACAGTCTTGTATAATTTTTATCAGAAATTGAAATAATTCTAGCTTATTGTACCAACATAGTATCCAGAAGAGATAAATATTTTTATTCAACTCCTCAATTTGTAATTCCAACTATACGATGTACATTCCTGGTTTTATACAAAACATTTTATGAATCATGAATCAAAAATTCAAGAATGTGAGGCCATGAAGACCAATGATACGAGAGATCACTTGAACTCCCATATTAACCTCATACGTGTATAACTTAACTCTGTATACAATTTGAATAAACAAAAGATTTGTAAAAAACATTGTCTTGCTTTATGTGTCAATAAATGTCACATTTGGAATTGAATTTTAGGTTTTTAGGACAACAGAAGCAGAAGTATGCATTTATGGATAAATTTAATTGATTTGTAAAATGGCTAGCCATCAGTAGAATAGTACTAAAATAGTTGCATCATTATTGAAGTAAGCCTTCTAAATGGTTATGTAATTCTAATGATTGATGTAAGCCGTTACAAATGAATTCAGTTTTTCTCTGACCAAGGTGAGTATTAGTTAAGTTATTATTAGCAATATATAGTTAAGGATGCCTCCCCAACCTGCTTTCCCAGCTGCTGCTGCTGCAAATTTTCTACACTTAATTTTCTTGAAATATTCAGTTATGTCGTATTTGATAGTGTTAAAAGTAAATGAGTTTAAAGTAAAGTTGCGACTTCTAATTTAAAATATTTTGAGACGTATGAAGAATTTGAATAATATTTATTTTAGAAACAAGATTTTTTGTAACTATCGTATAAATAATATGAAAACACTTATTTGATACATTTTTCAAATACTTCAATTTTTATTAAAAATTTCATTTATAAACATAAAATTACTTCTAAAACCACTTTCTTGTAAGTCTATAAAGCGTGGAAACACTTATCTTGTGTATTTTGTTCATTCAAGTGATGCATAGTTTATACTCCTGGAGTATTGACAGATTTGCTACTTTCATTAACTGGAGGGAATGTTAGTTATTTAGTGAGATTTTTAGACCTCGATTTCATGGGAAAATATCAAAATTTCTTCGTTTGATTATTCTAATAAATGAGAGGAAAAGAAGATATCTCATGTCCTGGACTATTACCTTGGGGCTATTTTAGAATTTATTTTACAAAAAAACATAATTGGAGAACTAAATTGTTGAGGTTAGAAAGTCTGGTGTTCGGTCACCAAAACTTCCTTTAGTTCACATTTTTGGTACTAAAAAGTTGATCATGTGTAGTTTTGAGTCTTATCATTTGAAGCAGCAACTGGGAAAGCTGTGGACCATGCAGTATTTCATTTTGCTTTTGAATAGGTAAGTTCCACTTTCATTCCTTGCATTGTTATTTGTATGTGTGTACCGTGGGGTGATGGGTTAAGTTCACATTCCAAGAAGAGACGTAAATCTTCAAAAATCATCCCATTGTTTATCTATCAATCCTAATTTTTGGGATTAAGAATCCAATATCACTGTTCCACACTTGGATGACTCTTAAACTGCAGTTAATATCATTCAAGATAGTGGCCAAAATTCTTCGTTTTTGATAAAAAAAAAGACTTCGGCTTGACTAAGTTAACTAGCTGCAATCGAAGATTTATGGATAATGAAAGAATTTTGGCCACCTTATGGAATGATGCTAACTGCAGTTAGAGTCATCGAACCGTGGAACATTTTAATTGAGATTTATGGTGGGACATCCTCTTTTCAAACTTGTAGACTACAAAATTTACGGTAAAAACCTCGAACTGTTGATCAGCAGAAAATAAGTATGATAGTAATAGTATGATGAGAGCAAGAAATGTTCAGCCTAATTTTTTTCAAAACTTGCCTCTATTTTTAACCTTATAATGAGTATTATGGGATAATCACTGAACTTTAATGACAAATGTGGATTGACCCCTTCACTCACCCATGGTTTCATAATATTCATATTACATTTTACTTAAGTTCGTTTATTTTATACATGTTACAGGATCATATAAACATCATGCTTCTTTGAGAGCCAAAAGATTCAGACACATTTTAGATTAGATTATACTTGAATCATTGAATGACTTATAAACCTAGTTCATATAGTTCATGCATTAATCATCTAGAAGTCTTCAGATTTTAAGCAATATTGGTTACCACGGCAATGAATTATGGGTCTTGCACGTGCAACCAGGACATGTAAATTCATATAGCTGAGAGTCTCTCATGTCTAAAATGACAAGTACATGTAGTTATGATTTTTTCTATTCATTGATCTTATGTCCAACGTTATGAATTGATTGTTCTTAACAATAGTTCTTTAATTTCCAGCCCTTGTTATGCTGATTGCTTGTATCGTGTTCGGTGTTGGAGCTAACGACCGAGCCTGGATGCCTCGGCCAGACCAGAACTACTTCAGCTGGAGCTTCGGGTTTTACATCATTTCCATGTTTTTCTCCGTCTTCGCTGGGCCTCCCATTTTGATGCATGCCATGCAAGTACGGAGAGATGCCCCCAAGGAACGACCCGAACTTTACGCCATGGAACAATTTGGTTATTCACAGACTGGCAGTATGCCTTCAGTGGCTGGTACTGCCATGTCTAAGGTTTCCAAGGCATCTACTCCATACCCAATGGGCCCAAATATGAACAGATACTAAACTATTTGGAGAAAGAACTGTTCTATTCGATCATTCCAATCTCCTTTCAGCTTATATATGGAGATCTATAACTTGGAAGTATCTTTTATTCCAGTGCATATCATTCAAAATTATTCAGTTTAAGAACAGCATGTTTTTCTTCATGTATCCATATTGTGACAATGTTTATAAAAAAACAACTAGACATTTCATTTTCCTGAATTATTAATGTTTGTTTGTTTATCGGAATGTCATTTTGTCATTAGAAATTCCAACAATATTCTAGCCTGTAATTTGTAAATATTTCAGTTTATGATTTCCTAAAATATACTTGCCCTGTCTGTATAGCTTGTTTTTCAAAAGCTTTAGAGCTGTATATAATCATTTAATATGTAACCATTCCATGAAATCGTTTCAGGATGGACTAATTGGTGACAATGCATTAGAACATCATTTAAAGCATTGTCATTCATGATTTCATTTAGTAATACCATGTCTGATTGAGATTTTAAATACTATTTCTAATAACAATTCGACTGTAGCTTCTGTAGTTCCAAAGAGGGGGGATACCCAGAATTCATATATGAACATCTAGAGCTTCGTAGTTCATCTATGAATTCTGGAGTATGCCCTCGTCTTAGTTATCATTTAAATTCACACTGATTGTATGAGTTTTTGAGTTCTGTACTTAAACATTCCCAGTTTTAAAATCCATCAAATGATGATTATAATATTTTATATTCTTACAAAGTGTTCTTAGCAGATGTAGTTAGACATTTTTATACCAATCATGTATAAATAAAATATTTTATTAAAAACCATATTTTCAATGACTTTCTTCGTTGTTGTCTTCTACGTGCACAAATAAAACTGGTGTGAGTTGAAACAAAATGTAAGTTCTGATCTGAATGTATCAAGCCATGAAGATGGCGGTATCATTAGCATTAGGTCCAAAGAAAGGGACAAGGGGATAGAGACCATTGCTGATGCCATATACAATTATCTATTAGTATATTATCATGTCAATATATTTTGTAAACAAAAAAAAATATTCCCAACTTTCATGCATGTTTTGCTGTTCTGGTATTTCAGGTGGTCTATTGGCGATTTCTGTGATTGTCTTCGCAACAATGTGCAAAGATGACCGCACGTGGATGCCAAGGCCAGAATACAATTATCCGTCTTGGTCATTTGGTTTTGCTGTCATTAGTGGGTTCTTCTCAATATTTGGTGGGATCTGTCTGCTGATTTGTGGGTTTATAGTCGTATATGGACCTCCCGGGTACCCTCTTGGAGAGAAAGAGGGCGTAACGAAGACACAATCCCACCAAATGATCCCGACTCATAAATCACAGATGCAGCCACCTCCAGGACCATAGGAACGGAGATAAACAATTACTGATCTACAATGGAGATATATTTATTCCATCGGTACCATTCCATCAGTTAGACATTTCCAGGTGTGTAAACCGGAGAAAAAATTGTAACTGCAAATTTTGAGAAATATGAGGTAATTTACCACCTTGGGACTTCCTTTCCCGCGCCTCACACCCGGCTACGCAGATGCATTTTTAGATCCGTATAGACTAGCTACACATTTCATACTGGGGGAGTCGGACTAATAGAATTCTATGTAGATAAACTTTTCTTACTTGTAAATAGATGGCGATCATAACTTGAAGTTTCATAAAAGCCAACCATGATGATTCAGTGTGGCATCAAGTCCTTTCATCTCGTCTCCGCAACTAAAAGCTATATGTGTGACAAAAATAGTCTATAGAGACAGATGGCGGAGAATTGATGCAAGACACTTATGATTAAAAGAGATTACATGTATCCCCTGTAAATAAAAAATATGCTTAATGATGTTGGAATATTTCTGAATGATATATGTATGTAGAAATTATGTAGACTATATAGTATGCTAAACAAAATCCAGAAAACATGTTCAGCAACTATCGTATCTCTAAATGATGTATAGTTTTGACATTTTGTACCTGTCTAAAATAAAATTGATTTTTGTGAAATATAATAATGTGAGTTGTTGTTTAGAATACAGATGTGAGGAAACCGTTTAAGCTAATTTACAAATGGATTTTATGTCTCGCTAATTCACATCAATATTAATTTCAACTTTTTTAGTCTTAACAGTTAACACACAATCAAGGTCTTTGCATTAGGACAACTTTAACGCAGTTATAAAGATGGATGTAGTTGGAAAACTTAATGCGGGACAAAGTTAATGTGTATGGACTAAGATAACTTAACCACTATGAGACATCACAATGATGCTGAGCCTATGGAATGGCAATTTTCAAATAAATTAATTGTTCTTCGTCTGAACCAATACTTGCATTCATTATCTTGGTTCCATCCTCATGATTCATGCCATTTGTTCAGGCTCTTAATAAGAAATCAGCTTTTCCACCATTTGAGTGGATAGTGGAAATTTTCAAGAAATTGTGCCTTTTATTTGACCCCAGCACTGCTCCCCACTTGACGTTACGTTTTTATAACAAAATGGATGAAATGCCGTCGGAGGAAGTGTTTCAACGTACGGGTATAATATTTGTATACAAACTGACCTACTTGGTGAAGATGCTGAAAATAAAATCTCGCTCTGCCGGAGGTTAGTAGTAATCCATTTTGTTATAAAGACGTTCAGGTCGGGACCAGAGCCCCGGGGAATGATGAAGTTCGGTGCCATATCCCAGGAACAATTATGCATATTTTACTTTGTATAGTATCAAGATTCGTTACGGCTCATGTTTTACCGTATTCAAACTTTCGATATCATTAAATATGATGCAAGATATATTCTGTAGAACACAAGGTACTGGTGGTAATTCTGTCCAGGAGTGAAAAACGACGAATTCTAGGGGTTTTACTTAGAATGAGATGTATGATCTTGGGATCGATAGACTTTTCCAATTTTGATGATACGCTAAATAATCGGAACTGTTTGAAGAAAGTATGTAATCTCATATTAGTCCTGCATAAAATAAAATAACTCTATATTTGGATAAATTCAATGTTTATTGCTTGGTATGTCCTTGTACACCAGGGTATGAATACAATATTTGCATAGGTGTACAAGATTTCAAGATGACAACAATCAACAACAACAGCTCATATGATACATAATTAGGAAGGTTAAGCTACACGTTTTATATTAAGCGAATTTGTTCGTGAACGTGTAATATTCTTTTAAAAACGTGTAGCTTGACCTCTCTAATGAAACTAAAATTCGTTGTATAAAGTAGTCCGGGAGAGTAAGACTCTATTTTGATATGTGTTCACGTAGACAGGTTTTACTCAATGTCATATAATCAGATCGAAGTAATGCCACACTACCCTACCACGTGACCACATTTAAAAATGATACAGGGTACGGTTAAGTTGCAAATGGAGCGGGTATTCTCTATCTTTGTCAATTGGGCTTTTCTGGTAATAATACGTTGCAAACTGCTCGATAAATCTATACAATGTATAGTAGAACACTTAGAATATGTGTAAAATCTAGTATACATTCAGAACTATGGAAATAAACAAACGTCCTCCATTTGCAACTTCCCTGTAGCCTGTACTTCTTTTAAAGGAATACAGGATACAGTATGGGGGTATAGTAGTGTGAATGCATGACTAAAGTGGTGATTTGAAACTATGGGATTCGATACTATCAATGTTTCCCAGTACACACCTCATTTTATGCACTGCCGTACAGCAACGGCAGGGTTTGTCTCCACAATTTCAAAATATGCCGTACGGTTACCGTAGCTCATATGCGACTGCAACTATGTGGCCGAGAACATCGACAGTGAACTTATAGGATTGATCATAAAGTTCTCATACTATACAATACACGAGCACAGAGTGTGGCATGTTCAGTGTAAAACCTGCCTAGGTTACAAATGTTCATGTTCGTATTGATAAATAATAAAAGCCCTGTCAGCCACCCGGGGCCAGCCATAAGCTGGAAAACCATATCAGTAGCAGTTCGTTCGATGTGTTTCTCTGCCTACCTACTATTGCACTAAACGAAATGCTACGGAGACTGTTGGGTAAAAATATGCTTGTATTTCTAGTTACCCAAACTCCCATTCTTGGCACATACATTATCTTTTAAAGGTAGAGGCCCACCTTGTTTCCTAAACTACAATACTATTCCATCTATACTATTCATTGGATTTGTACCTTTTTAACATGGATGATACTATTACTTATTTTGGCCAGTTATTCTGCTCTTGAGATGTTCTGGCAGAGGTATCATTATCACATTTAGCAGTGGATTACTGATGCACTGTTTAACATGGGGATATATAAGTAAAACAATCAACTCTACACCTGTTCAGGCAAAACTGCCCAAAATAGCAGGTAACATTTTTACAGACTTAGGGATATGTACATTATTTACATTTTAGTAAAATTATACAAATCAATCACACCACACGGGCAATTATGTTCAACCAAATTCAAGGTTATAAAACTAATTCTTAAAATTAAGGCATCCGAACAACTTAATACTCGGGCAAATGTTGAATGATGAAATCCATAACATCTTCTGAGTATGATCTTTTGATTTAATCGAGGGATACAGTCACATCAGATCAGTGTCTGTCTCGTCGAATGATCAGTGTTATGCATGAGTCCTGCCTCGAGTATAAGTATCACTTGATTATTAAAAGGAAAATTCATTTTCTCTTATAAATATTGGTTACGTGTCTCGTGAATATAGTTGCCGGTGTAGTCGATAAAATATATACTATATTTAGTAACAGATAGTATACAATGCAGCTTAGAGGCTCATAGGAATTCATAAAATTGATGTAGAAGTTTTAACCCTGGAGTTTTAAGCAATTCACCATTTTAGAAAATGTTGCTAGCTATAAAATACATTGATTTTCATTTCAATGTACTTTCCAATTGGTAGTCTTCAATGTTATAAATGGAAAAGAGAATGAAGGGAAAGGCGGACTGCATGGTAACCCTAAACATTTATTACTAGCAAGCAGTATGAATTTGTCGGTATTATTACTTAAAAATTAACAATTCTATTCAACGTATGGTTTAATTTTAAAATAATGATACACCTTGAATGCTAGTCTCATCGACAAGACCTCTTCTAAAATCTTTCTTCACCTTAACTAATTATGACCAGCAGCAAGAGACTATGAACCTGTGTGAAACATATCCTATATTTATAAATAACATATGGAACGTATGAAATTAGCATGTGAACTAGATGAAAATGTGAAATGTATGAAACATATGAACCATATCAAAATGTGATATATATGAAATATGTGAAACATATCAAATATGTGAAACATACAAAAATGTAGAGTATATGAAATATGTAAAACGTATGAAACAAATATTTAAATATGTGCTGACTAAGATGAATGAATGATCATATGTATCAACGATATCTGTTCACGTGACACGATTATGTTCAAAATACACGTGCTTACAAGTTTACCCAGAAACTTGAATGTCATCATTATAATTTTCAAATTCAATGTTTACGAATAAACGTAATTATTGGGACTAATATGTGGGACTACTACTAATATAATAAGGACTTCAATGAGAAAGTCACTTAAATCGTCATAAAAATATTGATCATTTTGTTTTATGGTTAGTTCGCTTCACAAATTGGGGTCTTGACACAGTGCTCGTCATCAACCCGTATTGTAGGATCCTGCACAAGACGTCACTGTTCAATCATGATAATACAAAGTGCAGGCAGCATTGGCGCCGGGAGGTTTCTTGATTAGGCATCGGCAGCCTCAGACTCTATCCAAGGTACGTCTTTATCCTCTATGCTGGAGTATGGATTGTTCCCACTGGGTTTCCCATTACGTCCATTTTCCTGAGGTTGCAGTTTTTCCTCTTCCTCTGACGTCAGGCGTTCCTGATCTTCAGCTTTCTTCTGGTTGCGTTTAACACAGATATACGCCAAGAGGAACACAACTACAAAATAGCCAATGACCAGAAGGCAAACGATAAGGCTAATGATATGAATGAGCGGGATCGTGAACAACTCTTCACAGACAACGTGCTCAATTTGCTCGCCAGCATCGCTCCGGTAACTAGCAACCACGCACACGTTGTATGGCGTGTCATGATTCAGATGCATGATCCAATACGAGTTATTCGTTGGCCCTAGTGGGTCACTATTGAAATTCAACTTGCCAGTTCGGTACTTCACTTTGAAATGATTTATATGCTGTTGTGTAATATTTTTTGAATAGGTCATATTCCAACCGACGTGAATGGCGTCAGTTTTACTCGTCAAATGGACAACTTTCATAGAAAACACCTCATTTTCAAGTTCTTCAATGTTTGAGTTATTGGAAGGTGCCATATTGACCATGGGGACTTCTGTCCCAGTGGTGTCCTGCCCCATAACGAGGCTCGCCACCAGATGGAGTCCCAGCAGATGCACCAACATTGTAACAGCCAGTTGACGCCTATCTGCAAGTAGATAAAAAAACAGCATTATTATTAAAAGATACAAATGATGTCGTTGGATGTAAGAATAGTATAATAGCTGTCTATACAGACTTTGTGTTGTAACTGTAAAGAAACTTTTGGGCACTCTTCTTATCTCTAAATTTTAAATATAAAAAATAACATGTTCCCTAGAATGAGTTAGATCAGGTGGTTCCTTGGCAAATAATGATATATTTACGAGTCAGTCTGACACAAATTATATTCCTGACATTTGTGTCAAATACGGACGCACTTAGTTACATGTTGAGGGAATTCGCACTGAAATCCGTATAATTACGGCAATCCATGGTCGGCCATTAGTATACGATTTCATTTACGTAACACGTTGGAACACTCTACAAGCCATTAAATTGTTAATTATCAAGAAAAGTGTAGTACATTGTCAAGATAATTACTTATAATTAATTAATTTAAATCCCAATTAATACATAGTTGACTAGAATCTAATTGAAAGCCCATGATAGTACATGACAATGGATACTGCACATCTACCATTGTCCCCGTTGTATTTCTAAATTCAGAATCCGTTGTCTGATGATAGAAAATGGTGTATTGTGGCGATTCACGACCACATTTGATCTGAATTAATATTTTATATAATACATCATCAAAACAGCATAATATTTGCACAGAATTAGCGCCGACAAGGTCCCATGAAATGAGAACCAAGCGATTAAAGGGTCGATCGAAATCCGACGTCTTGGTTGTCAGGGGTTCGAGTGTGATCTAGAAACGTTCGAGTCTTATCAGCTTAGAAGTTGGCAACGTACCCCGCTTTGACGTCCAATGAAATACTTGGTGTTTGACTAATATTAACACTAACGTGTAGTGAACAACGCCAACGAAAACAAATTATTGGCTAGTGTATATATAGGGGCGTCAGAAGGATTTGCCAGGGGAGGGAGACTTTTTAGTACGGATGGGACGTGCGTGAAGCGAGCCGAACGCGATGCGTGCGACGCAATCTAAGGAGATCGGGGGTATGCCCCCAGAAAATGTTCAAATTTAGACCCTCTCTGGTGCATTCTGAACATATCTCAGATATGAGAAATGAGATCTTCTACATGTATGCTTGATGTAGACTAGACACTGACAAAGAATCATTTCTGTCATTATTACACTTTCACTTAAAGGGATCCAACACCTTACAAAACTTCTTAACGGAGAGGAATAAGGGAAAATGCTTGCCGGATTCTGAATCTGTGTATTTTTTAATGATTTTTCACCGTCTTAGAATTTCATTTTTTTTCCTTTGAAAAAATGAGATTTGCATTGTTTTCCAATTAGACAAATGAGTAAACATGAATAGCTCGAAATCTAACGGTGAGATTTTGTTTTAAAAAATCATGGTTATCAAGGCTAAATATAGCTATACAATAAACATAAAAAAGCAATGCTTAGACTCTTCATATTCACACAAAAAAATTAATTAGTAAATGAGGTTTGATATTTGTGAGAATAAGTTGTACGAGTCACAATGCTCTACAAACACCAGACTACAGGGTGGATTAGGATCAATGACACACATAAAAATTAATTTAAAAATATTTCATGATAATTATCTCAAACAAAAGCAGTTAGCGAAGGATACATTTCATTACACTCAATAAAAAGTTATCACTTTTGACTATATATACATATCTCATGGGAATGTATTTCCATCTGCTCAAGATATCATATTTTAGCTTCGAAAATCACAGTCGTTGGATAATGCATTTGTCTCAGAATGATAGGCCACCCTGTAGCAATGTAGCTTTCACTTGAAGTGTACCCTTGAGAATAATGAACTTACTAAATCAAATTGGTCTTGCTTTTGTGGTGTATGTGGCTTTTTAGCAAATCTGCCACGCTCATTTCTTTCCAGAACCATCTTGTTCACATGTAACACTAGGCTATACGCGCATGTATAGACAGATGACATAGATATACATATAAATTATATATTGCACCTGTATTTACTTACATGGGAATATTCCCTTTGGAAAAATGCAAATGCATGAACATATATTTTCATCTTATATATGACTTCAAGCTAACATATTATTTCATATTTATATTTTCATAGTTAGTCTAACATAAATAATAGATCCATGAGAACAATATTCTTTGTTTTCTTAAAAATTGATGGGTTTACTGTGAATTCAATAAATTACAATTTGCAATGGGTAAGTATAATGTATGACCTTAGTTGCAAAGTACTGTTTATATATGCAGCTCAATAGCATAAAATATGTTGAATGAAGCATATGGTATGGATTAGTCGTGTGACACACAAACTGACCAATATATGAGGGTATTAGCTACTTTTCACAGAAACCAAAGGAGGACAGTGCTTTTATTTCAACTGGGAGCTTACCTCCACACGACTGATCATGTGACCATGGTGTTGGGTCCCTTTAAATAAACTCTACAACTTTCAATTCTAGGCTCGGTTTCAAATCTTAAAAAATCTGGGAAAGGGTTACCCCCAACGCCCTCCCCCTTCCGACGCCAATGTTTATACTGTAAGTATCCGAGAAAATTCGCAGGAGCAAGAAGACACGTTACAAATCGAGTATGATACTCTGAGAAAGAAATAACTACGTGTTTGATGTCTTTACACTGCGTTCGGAGAGTGATTGAACGTATATTATATGCGATTGCAATAAAAGATGTCATAGCGTTCACGTTCTCAAGGTTAAAGAGTTGCGTCAACGTTACCTCAAGGTAAACACTGAAACAACAAGCTTTATTAGTGTATTACAAAATTAGACACATTTTTCACAGCAACAGAAGATTGAGATAATTCTTACAAGTTGCAAGATCTGAATGCAATAACAGATGTTATGTTGATTAAATGTGTGGCTACTGGGCACAGTTCATTTTGATTAACCAGACTCGAGACCCACTCTTTTTTATGCCGCTAAAACGATCAGCTAAAACGATATAACTCCGTGTAGCGTAGTTCCTGATATGATTATGATACATATCAACCATTCCCAATTTAGTTGACTCTTCATTATCTCTAATATAGTATTACTTTTACCACGTGTGCACAATGGTTGTTTTAACAATCTTTTCAATGCTGCACGAGGGTGGCGCAGAAATCTCGGGTGACAATAATAATTTGAAATGGTGGTTTTGTCTTTTCATAAAGACAGGTTATAGTTCAACATGTCACTAAGAATAACTGCATTATGTCCGTGAAACGTCGAGCCTTAAAATATCCGGTGAATATTTGTAAATACGAAATACGAATATATAGAGGATATCCTATGATTTATGAGTGATATGATTTTTATCCACGAATGGATATGATATCTGCACGAGCGAGCGTAGCGAGAGAGTGCAGATATCAATATCCATGAGTGGATTAAAATCATATCACGAGTAAATCATAGGATGTTCTTTTTATTCCATAGTTAAAGTCATCATCAGAATCGTCGTAAATTAAGTTATTTAATTCGAATTTCCAAGATCCGGCGATGTTGACACTTAGTCTCGTTTTGAGTCTGAAGTAGCAAAAATCCATAAACCATCGCATACGACGTCGTATGTCATGGCTAAAAAACCGTATGTTATGGTTAAGTGAAAATTTGTCAAAAATATCATATTTTACCACTGATTACAAAAATACCGTTTTTATTTTCACATGTTATCCTATGAATATCATGCTAACTATGAAATAAATATATATATCCACAAACTGCCACAATATAGAATGTTATTTTTATGATATCCATATTGAACTACTATCATTTTTGGTCTAAAGTTAATGGAGTCAAGCTAATACTGATAAATCGGAGTCATAACATCATTTCACTTTCCAATCATTTGAGAAACGCTATACGTGTAAAGCAACTATCTCAGAGATTGATAATTAATCTTATAGAACGTTTTTTGGAAAGGGTACATAATACTTTTTACATGAACGAACATCCAAAACGAAAGAAATAGATTTTATAAGAGCAAAATGATTTCGAATGAATGTATTTTAAAATCCTTCAGTATTTCTGGCGAAGATGCAATCATAATATTTAGTTACCATAAATAACGATGTCTTAAAATTACGGTGTTTGTAAAGTATAGATATGAATGTACGAGTACCTATCTGTTTTTCATTACAAACTCATAAATTAGATTACTTATTTGGAATGAGTTGAACAGTGTAAATATATTTTAAGAAAAATAAGGCGCTCCCCAAATCATATGTAGATCGCTATTTATGATGAATCTTAAGATATCTGCGTCATTAACTTTATTTATCATTCTCGAGTTATTTTAACAGAAAGTTAACATAAAGACTCTTACATTTCATTCTAAATATAGTAGTTTGGTTGTGATTGTATGTTTAAATGACAAGATTAGGCATTGAGCAGTCATTTTATCTAACCATATACGTCATCAACGTATGGACACAAGGACGAGCTATCGCGTTTATTATTGATAGAAGCAAAGTATAATTTTATTAAACTGATAATTTATAGTCATTTGAAGAGAGTAGTGAAAGTTCAATTGCTACCGAATTTATAATGCTACCTTTAACATAACACATATGTACTCGAACAAACATTTCAAGTACCTTAAAACATAACATACAATTCCCATGCAAGGAGTACATTTAGGTTCTACAAATAAGACCTTTCCCCACAACTCTTCCATAGAAATTATGACTACAACTAACCCAACCGTGCATGAACTATATAAAGTTTACATGCCTTCAAATGTTAATGTTTTTGGAAATGGGAAAAACATATATTTAATTCATATATATCTATCTAGTTCTGTTAAACAGAAACGTTATGAATGTCGAGATGCCTTATTCCACTACATAGTCTTGCATACAATCCAGTAAAACAATTGGCATTTAGTCCATATGCTCCTTACTGAACTGCCTTATAAAATAGCTCACTTCTGAGTAATCTTCCAGGATTGTATACAGGATTAAACATCAGTTTATTAAATGAAACCGTCTGATGAGGAGTTCCTGAAGTAGCTACTAAAATGTTTTATCTAACATATTGCCTTCTTAAAGCCAGGTAGGCTTATATCGAGAATGAAATATTGGGACAAACATATGTTCAAAGCAAATGTTTCTCCTCGTCAATTTCCAAATTCCAGAGGGAAAGTTGAGAGGTGTTTGGTAATATTGAAGCATTTAATCGACTATGAGTTGTGCGTTTGACATTTCAGTTCAGTTTATGAGGGAATGCTGAATATAGGAATTCCAAAAGGCATTCATAAAGATGAGACGTGTCAACGTACAAAAACTAGGTAGAAACTTATATTTAGTACTAGGGAACGTTTTAACAGCTGAATAGACAGTTTAGGCTACCACGGTTTTTCACAACCTAAACGCGAACGTAAGTTATTAAGCGATGCATTTGTATGGTCGATTGGTCATACGTATAAGTTGGCGTTTCGATTTTATATGAAGCTTAAACTGCCTAATATCACAATATGACGTAGGAACGTCGGTCGCTTGACTTTCTACCAGGGGGAGATGTCATAGAATTCATCGATGAACCCATGGAAATAGGTGCATCTAAGAGTCGTGGGGTTTTTCCTACTCATACTCTCTACATTTTCAATTCTACTCTTCTAGAACCAATCTTCCAATAAGTACTGCAATGTATATACTGCTGTGTTACATTTCCAACTGCGATAATTATGAAACTTCTGTTAACGGCGCTACATGAAATCACGGAGTCTCTGTAAGTCCGTGATGAAATTGACGCTTTTGGAGGAAAATTATTTGATTTTGTCATTTGTAGAAGAAATTTATTTGATTTTGTCATTTGTAATGAAATATTATTTGATTGTGCCGCCTTACACGAGGCACAAGAATAGACAGACAATCAATAGTTTTAACGTCGCTATCGTTTTTCTAATACATGGCTACTTATAGTAATTTCCAGAGTGCCTTTCTCATACCTTTCTTTATCGGTTCAATTGCTTTCAGCTAGTGTATCAAGTTATCATTAATCTTTAATGTTACATAATACAATTAAAGCGCATTTCCTCTGTAATGTCTTAAGAACAACGTAGTCCAAATGAGATAAAATTGCATTGCCAGCCCAAGCATTGACTGATCCACTGAAACATGCCAGAGTTTTGCCATTAAGCCCTTCATCAATTCCATTAGGCAGTCCACCATTACCATCGGTTTCTACTTCACTTACCAACGTCGTGTTGTCTCCGATGCGGTTGTCAATCCCATTTAAACCTGCGCGACTCAGATTAATCAAAAGCTACTTACCTTTAGACCAGCATTAGTGGAGAAACGGTAGAGGTAATCCTGTAGTATACTATCCTACAGGCACAAATGAAATTGTATACACAAGGCTAAAGATAAACGCAAAGAGGAAGCCTGTAAAAATAGCTTGGTTCGTGGATCGCCTAAATCCGGGACCCGCTGACAGTGTGTTATAATACACCAGGTTATCACCTGAATAAAATGGGTCTCACATATGGTTAATGATTGGTTAATATGCTGATTCGTGGGATTTGTTATCAGTTTAAAAATTGAGAAAGTAAGTTAAGTCAACCTCCAATGTAGATGAGCAGAATTTGACAATGATAAATACTATAATCGCTTACCTATCATGAATCGTAACCCCTTAATGCGATATAAGCCAATGTGGAGGCAACATACGATTTACTTAGCAGAATAAACATCCTCTGTTTAACATAATATCCAATAGACCATACAACATAATATCCAATAGACCATACAACACAATGCTCAACTACAACGCAGTTAAACTCAATGTTCAACCAAATTCACAATTTAACAAAATATTAAATATTACATGCAACGCAATGTTTGGCCGTTTAACCGTTTAGCCAATACTCTGTTCAATGGTCAATCAACACACCATTCAACAAGATGGTTAATCAACAGACTATTCAACGCAATGGTCAACCAACACACTATTGAACATAATGGTCATCCAACACACCATTTAAAGCAATGGTCAATCAACACACTATTCAACATAATGGTCATCTAACACACCTCTCAACACAATGGTCAATCAACACACCATTCAATGCAATGGTCAACCAACACACTATTGAACATAATGGTCATCCAACACACCATTTAACACAATGGTCAATCAACACACTATTCAACATAATGGTCATCCAAACCATCATTTAACACAATTGTCAACCAACACACTATTGCACATAATGGTCATCTAACACACCATTTAACACAATGGTCAATCAACACACTATTCAACATAATGGTCATCCAACACATCATTTAACACAATGGTCAATCAACACACTATTGAACATAATGGTCATCCAACACGCCATTTAACACAATGGTCATCTAACACACCTTTCAACACAATGGTCAATCAACACACCATTCAACGCAATGGTCATCCAACAGATCATTTAACACAATTGTCAATCACCACACTATTCAACATAATGGTCATCTAACACACCTTTCAACACAATGGTCAATCAACACACCATTCAACGCAATGGTCAACCAACACACTATTCAACAGAATGGTCATTCAACACACCAATTAACACAATGGTCACTCAACACACTATTGAACACAATTGTCATCCAGCATACCATTTAACACAATGGTCAATCAACACACCATTCAACATAATTGTCATCCAACACACCTTTAAACACAATGGTCAATCGACGCACCATTCAACATAATGGTCATCTAACACACCTTTCAACACACCATTCAACATAATGATTACCCAATGCAGTATTCAACATAATGGTCATCTAACACACCTTTCAACACACCATTCAACATGATGGTTACCCAAAACACTATTCAACATAATGGTCATCCAACACACCTTTCACCACAATGGTCAACAACACACCATTCAACAAAATGGTCAACCAACACTAATCAACATAATGGTCATCCCACACACCATTTAACATAATGGTCAATCAACACAATAGTCATCCAACACACCATTTAACACAATGATCAATCAACACACCATTCAAGACAATGGTCATCCCACAAAATTGTCATGCAACACATCTTTCAACACAATGGTCATCCAATGCATCTTTCATCACAATGGTCATCCAACACATCTTTCAACACAATGGTCATCCAACACATCTGTATTGCATCTGTATCACTAAACAATCTGTTGAAACTGCAATTTTGATTGAAACTAGGTTAATTAATCAAGGTTTCATTGAAATGAATGAAGACATTGGCAAATAAAGTTAATATATTTGAGCATAACTATCCTTTATCAGCTTCACTCAAATTACTCGGGGTGGAAGGTGTGAGAATTGTGCAAAAAATGACTTTGTGAGCTGGATGGAGTTTCTCTGTATTTTTCATTCTATTAGGGTTTCCTGCATAAGGGATTTCGCCTGCGAAGCATATAACTCTTGCGAACATATCTAAATATTGGTCCGAGGAAGACATACCTTGAATTTTTTAGAAAAAATTGGCTAAAAATGGAAACTACAAAATGTCAAAATGTTCAACTCAAACAAAACTCTAGCTATTTAATATTAACACTATGTATTATTTAATGTTTTTCAGATGTTTAAGGACCTTCATTAGTGTACTAGTGTCTAGAAATAAGATAATTAAGGACAAAATTTGGCATTTTTGATCATTTTCGCTTTCAGCACTAACATATAGTTCCTTATATCTTGAGTTTAATGTTGACTGGTTGTTGCAATTTTGATTAAATCTGTGCTTGTACATGTCTTCTTCCATTTAAGATACAAAAAATGTATATTGAACCACCAATGGTCATATTAGAGCTTTCAGATCTCCCCTACCCCATTTATTATGAAAAATTACTGAAACATATGAAAATATAAAATAACTTGAATTTATAAACTTTAACAATGTTGTAGCTATTCTATATCAATATTATGTATTATTTAATGTTTTTCAGATATTTCAGAACCTTTATTGGTATAGTAGTGCCTAGAAATGAGACATTTAAGGACAAAACTTGGCATTTTTTAAAATCATTTTAGCTTTCAGCAGTAACATATAGTTCCTCATATATTGAGTTTTATGCTTACTGGTTGTTGCAATTGTAATAAAATCTGTTTTTGTAGATGTCTTCTTCCATTTAAGGTATAGAAAATGTATAGTGGACCACCAACGGTCATATTAGAGCTTTCAGACCTCCCCTACCCCATTTATCATGAAAAATATAAGAAAAATATGAAAATATAAAATAACTTGAAACTATAAACTTTAATAAAGTTGTAGCTATTCTATATCAATATTATGTGTTATTTAATGTTTTTAAGATATTTCAGAACCTTTATTGGTAAACTAGTGCCTAGAAATGAGACATTTAAGGACAAAACATGGCTTTTTTGACCATTTTCGCTTTCAGCAATACCATATAGGTCCTTATATCTTGAGTTTAATGCTGACTGGTTGGTGCATTCTTAGTCAAATTTGTTCTTGTACATATCTTCTTCCATTTAGGATATAGAAAATGTATATTGGACAACCAATGTTGATATTAAAGCTTTCATATCTCCCCTGCCCCATTTATGTAAATGAAAAAGTAATTTCAAATCATCAACTTTAACAAAATTGTAGCTATTCTCTATCGATACTATGTATTATTTAATGTAACCTTCATTTGATTACGTGTGTCTAAAATTTGGCATTTTTAGCATTCTGCATTTAGCAGTAGCATATAATTTTCCACAATTATAATTCTTTGATGATAGATTCATATATGTTTTTTATTGAATCTGTCTTCTCTGATTTAACTTAAAGAAAATGTATGTAAGACAACGAATGTTTTTATTAGAGGTCTAAGATCTGCCCTCCACCATTAAATGAGAAAACCAACACATGTTATTATTGCATGATGATATTCTTAAACTTTTCAAAAGTTTAGCATATTTATTAGCACACTAAAATCAAAAAATGACACATAAATGGGCAAAATGACCAATGTTTCACTTTCAGCAATAGTTGTTTATATTTTTAGTTGAATGGTGATTAGTTGACATATTTTAGATCATATATATTCAACAATGTGTCTTGTTATCTTCAAAGCATGGAAATGTGTTTTAAACACAAATATACATATTAGAGATAAAATTACTACACTACTATATTTTTAAAAGATTACTCAAAAATAGCATAGTGCGAAATAATTTTGTAATTTCGCAGTTTACTCTCGTATGAATCAAAGGATATGTCTTTATATAGACATGATTGTTCAAAACTCTCGAACTTAATCCAGCAACAGCCTGATTTTTCAAATCTCCCTGGTTCTATGTTAGAGCTGCATTTAAGTCATTTTGAAGGTAACTGGTCAACTGGTACCCAAGACAAGTCGTACCCAAGCATATATTTTGTTTTGAATCAAGTGTTGGACTGGGAATGTGTAAAGATATACATATTATAACTGTAACATACTGTTCAGAAGTTTGAAGAATTTTCAGAAGAAATTGATATAATTTTGTAACATTTTGAGCTTTGAGTGTCAATTTATTTTGACTATTATTTTATATTGGATGTTCGAGTGAAGAGATATATGTTTATTCCACACATTCATAATCATTTTTTTAAATATTGTATGTTTATGAGTGCTTGGAACAAGTGTCAGATTTAATTTATCTTGGAAGATGGTATTATTATAAATGTATTGATTCATCAAATCTTGGGCCTAATTTCTTATTAAACAGATAATCTATTTGTCTAGGATTTCATATTATCAGAAGTCATATTCATGAAATTTAGCAATAAAATATTTTGAATAATATAATAATAGTATACAAGTAATAATATAGTATAATATTAATATCAAATATTATTTTGGTACTTATTCATACATGATATATTATTACACTTAGTATGCATGTGCATAATCCAATTTAGTTCCAATTGGAAAAAAATTAACAGATTAAACTTCCTTTAAACTTTCTCAAAATGCTCAAATTAATTGTTTGATTCATTTGTAGAAAAGTCACTGTTGTAATTATATTTATTTATATATATGTTTGGCAAAAAATGTTGTGAACAAGCACTTCAAGCACTTGTTTTATTAGTAAAAAGGTGATTCAAGTTAAATCAAAATGCTTTACTTAATCCATTGAGAAAAAATGTCTTCTAAATTCAAAAAAATATTGAGGCTTATTTGAGTCACATTATAACATGAAAACATAATTATACAAACTCAATTTGTTTTCCTAATATGCACCCATAATACTGGAAATAACTTGGGTACGAGTTGTCTTGGGTACCAGTTATCTTGGGTACGAGTTGTCTTGGGTAAGAGTTATCTTGGGTACAACTTGTCTTGGGTACCAGTTGACTAGGAAGCATTTTAAAGGTCTAAGTTGCTCATGACACCACAAGCTATTCAGATATGTAAGATCTCTAAATAAGTTTTATAGTTCTGAGAAA